ATCAGTTAGAAAAGGCTTAGTGCCTGCACAAAATAATGGGGATGACCTATAACTATCTGCTCCTCTACCCGGCAAAGACAGAAGTAATCTTACTTTGTGTTAGGACCGATCAGATAATCACATGCAATAATGTTAGCGTAGCACCTTGCTACACTGTGAGGAATCTTGGAGTCATAATCAACCAAGAACTCTCAACACACACACACACACATTTAGTCAGCCACCAATTGTGCAAGTTCTCCCACTTAGAATAATGAGGTCTGTAATTTTCATCATAGGTACACTTCATCTGTGAACAGAACAGAATGTGAACAAAAATCCAGGAATTCACATTGTAGGATTTGTAAAGAATTTATTTGTAAATTATGGTGGAAAATAAGAATTTGGTCAATAACAAAAATTCAATTCAATACTTTGTAATATAACCTTTGTTGGCAATAACAGAGGTCAAACCAGGTTTGCACACACAGTAGCTGGTATTTTGGCCCATTCCTCCATGCAGATCTAGAGAGCAGTGAACACGGACTTTCAACTCCCTCCACAGATTTTCAATGGGGTTAAGGTCTGAAGACTGGCTAGGCCACTGCAGGACTTTCAAATGCTTCTTACGGAGCCACTCCTTCGTTACGCGGGTGGTGCGTTCGGGATCATTGTCATTCTGGAAGACCCAGCCACGTTTCATCTTCGAAGCGCTCACTGATGGAAGGAGGTTCCTTCTTTCCTTAAAGTGGTTCTCACCCCCGCTCCTCGGAGCATACGTCACTTACATTTCCTTTTCAAATCTCCCTCCAAATGGGCGTAGTCTGGAGGACTAAAGGGGACAGGCAGGGGGGTGAATGTTCGGTGGGTCTAGGCTGTGATTGACACTTGACTAAAACTACAATATTCAACAACAACGCCATTAACACTACACAATTATCAATAATACAAACAGCTATGCTAATAAAAATCTACCTAAATGCTGTGACTAATCGCAAACCTGACAATCGATAAATGCTCGCTGTTGTTCCTTCTCCAACTCGCTACGGGGTCGTGAACGAGCGGCGGGGCGGGTCGGCACTAGATCATACACGGAATCGGGACGAAACCGGACGTAACAATCCTACTTTCGAATTAGTTTTAGAGTAATAAGTCCTTAAGTGATGACTGGTTAAGTTTTAGGTGTCTGAGTAAGATGGTTATGGTTAGGGTTAAGGCTGGGTTGGGGTTATTTTATGGGAATGGCTGGTTAAGTTTAGGCATGAATAGGTAGTTTGTAATATTTACTTCCGCTCCGATTCCGAGCCACTGCGGCCTCTGCTGCGCCAATGATGGCGCCATATTCAAAATTCAAATGTAGTAATACAAGTCGCCTGCAGATGGCGCCTCACAGATGGTTTTAGGCAGAAAGTTGAGCTTTCAACTACTTTGTACCAAAGTGACAAAATTGTGACCAGGATATGTACACAACACTATTGGACACTCATTTATACCGTTTATCAGCAAAAAAAAGTGGATTTGAGGGTGAGTTGTTCTTTAAAGCTGCAATAACTGCCTGATTTTGAAGCCGCGGACTCGCTGGCCTCGCTCTTTCTGCTGCCCTCTCCGCACCCACGGAGCTATCGCCCCACACACACACCCACTGTTGTTGATGGAGCTAGCGTCTCCCAATATGGATAAATACATGGACATGGATTTGCACGTGGATGGCGTGACCATGGAACGATAGAACCGGGAAGCGCGGAGGAACAGGACTTTCTTTTGGATGGCTGTTTCGCTGTGTAAGCAGTAACCGGTGACGAAGACGAGGAAGCTTCAGGTTAGCTCCTCGGCTTGTTGTGCTAACTCAGCCGTCTATGCTAACGGACCTGTAGATTTCTCACAAAAGTGGGGGCTAGTGGTCCGCTGTGATTGGTCACAATCTGCGACCCAAAACACATTCTCTTCCTTGTTTCATCAAAACTCGATCTAAAATATAATGTCACTCCAACACAAATCTGCGCTACTTTTTCTTCAAAAGGACGTATATCCCAATGCACTACATGGACATGGTTAGCATTTTCGTAATTAATACAAAAATAAAGTCAGTTAGTGCAGCTTTAACGCATTATGGTGCTTTCAGACTGGATCATGCGTTGCGTCGGGTTTCAATGCAAAGTCTATGGTGACGCGCGTTCGGCTGTCGCAACGCACAAACGGCTCGGTTCGCACAAACGGACTGTTCAGTAGACACGCACGGACTTGGCGGGAAAGTGAAAAGGGAGCAGCAGGAGCGAAAAATCGACGCCCATAGGAGATGGATTCTGCTCATCCTTTCCTTGGGACGTTCGTGCGACAACCAATCAAAGAGCAGCAAAGTGGTCACGGGGACATTAGCGGACTGAGCGAGCAGACTGAAAATACTCATAAACAGCCAAAACAGGACCCACACCAGGCTTCACCAGAACTCAAACCAGGGTTGACAATGGGGGACTCTGTGCTTGTGAATATATGCGTTGTCATGCTCCCGTGACCTTATGCAACTGCTTCGAGTGTGTTCGCCAATGTGGAAATTCCGTTTAATAATATGCATAAACGTATGGCGCACCTCCGTGAACACATACTACTGTTATATAAAGCCTGTGGAATGTCTGTGAGCAAAGACACGCGGCAAAGCTGCATATTGGAGAAGATCTGTACACAAGAAGCCACTAGCATAGCTCTGTTAGCATCAGAGCCGGCCGGCTACTTCCGGTACTTTGCGTCTGAAAACTAGAGAATGCGCGTCTGGTGAGCGGGGCTTCAGCGTTTCAGCGTTGGTGGTGTGAAAGCCCCCTTAGATTTATTCTACTAATACACATGACAACTTGACATTGTCGGAGCTGTTTCACTGAGACTTCACTTTTTATTATGTATTTCTAATCAACAAAAGAATGGTTACTTGAAATATTTAACAAGGATAATAAAAAGAAACACAAACTGACGGTGAGCCCATCTCTCAATGAAAAATGTAACGGCTAGCGCACAACCGTTTGCATAAAACTGTACTTTTACAGTAACATCTAACACGTTAAACACCTTTTGTGTGACAGTACAAACTTGCAATTATCATGCTTGGGTGTTCCAGTACAAACCTGAAAATAAAAGAAAGAGACGAGTCAAAATCAACGTTGCGTCCAGGCTCTCTGCTTGCCGACTGACGATAAGCAGGTGCGGGCGACTTAAAAGCGTCTCCAGACCAGCACTGCCCTCTAGCGGTGGGTGTCAATACTACATTAATACATTATCCAGAATTATGTGACCACACATAGTGGGCATCACATAATGTTTGTATTTCTCTTTGGGTGCAATGGTTACACAGGCACTGAACTGGACTATATTGTGTCATATTACTACTACTTTTGTACAATATGTACGTACTATACATACTGTATTTTATTGTTTTGGTTTGTATGTGTGACTTGAATGAGTGAGGGGGATTGGAAAAGCATACGCATGGGTGGTTGGCTTCCCCCAATAGTTAAAATGTATCTCTGCGTTTGCAAGTCTTTTGTTAGAGGGAAAACAGAGAAGAACAGAACAGAAGAAAAAAGATGCATTCCAGCTTAAAGGGCCTATATCACGGTTTTTGACTTTTCTCTGCTTTAAACATGATTACAGTGCTATTTGGCCTTCATACACAAGCCCACAGTTGTTTATTCATTGATTCTGTCAATCTTTTGTAAGAGAACAATCTGTCTCCTTCCCCAGCGTGAGGCACAGAAACGCTCGGGTCCACTTCAGTGACAAAAACCACACTGATGACGCGCATGACCCCGTTTGCTTTGTATTTAAAATAGTTGTTAAATACTTTTGTCAAAACGGGGTAAACAATACACAATTAGTATGCTGTTTTTTGTCAAAAATAATAAAATAAAAATAAATTAAAAGCCGTTGGGAGGTGATTGACGGATCAAAACAGCGAATCAGAGCGCACAGGCTCCGGCTCCCGAGTCCAGCGTCTGTGGTCTGGTCTCCGGACACCACATAGAGCTGCTGTTTTTATGCTTTTGTCAGCGACTAAAAGTGTTAGGATCACGTCAACTTGAATGAAGTGTGTTATGGGTGTAAATATGTGACACACTATTTGGCCCTAAGAGGAAGAAAGCGGCTCGACTTTTTTCATTTGTTCATCATGGATCTATTATAATACTGGTTCATCTGCAACACTTCACTGAGACTGTTCCAGAACTACAGGGACAATGGAACTGGACTTACTCAAAAGCTGATCTGGAAACACGTTATTCCCACGGTAAAAGACGTAACTCGGACCCCTCGATCTGTAAGTAGTGACACTAACTTGCTGTATACTTCTGTAAACTAAATAACTAGGGTCTGATTGTGCATCGAGGACATAGGGCTCGATGTGACGGATTGTCATTGTTGGAAAAAGTTTATTCTTATGTATGAAATTACTAAGTACAGGTGATAAACGACAAAAGCGTGATGCTACGTCACCGTGCGGGCGGGGGGAGGCGGGCTCACAGGCAGAGGAGCAGACTCTTCTCTGGATCAGCTCGTTTGAGTCGAGGTGACGTCACCTCTATACAAGAGATGGCTCTAATCTCACAAGCTTTGATTGTTGTGTGGTGTATCATACACATTAATATCACACATGTGTATAGGATTGAGTGTGAAACATGAAGAAAAGCGTGATATAGGACCTTTAATTCCAGCCGTATGTAATGCTGTACGCAGGCACTAGATGGCGGCACGGGTGCGCGTGGGTCCCGGGTTCTTCCCAGGTGCTGTACGGGAGTCCTTCCGCTCCCTCAGACCAGCAGGAATGTGGACCCACATTACGTCAGCTGTCCTGCCAGCGGAGAGAGCCTCGTCTTTGCCGTGAGGACTGCTGCTTTCTCTTGAGGAGGATCGTGGTTTTCTTCCCGTTCTATGTTGGTTTTGTCCTGCGTGGCGAGAGAGCGAGGTTCACAACTCCGAGGACTGATTTAGTATGGAAAACCACCGTGCGACTCATTAACGACGAGTTTCACGAAGGGTAGATGGAGGAAACGGAAGGTAAACCCCAATTCTTACAAACTTACACCGCTTTCGGTTTAGTTTATTTCGTGTGGAAACTGGCCTTCATGAAATCAAAAGACACAATATCCCCATAAACAAAAGCATTCGTGGGCATTCTGGGCTGCAGAGAGGCGCCCAGACACGCAGCCTATACCGTGATAACACGTATGTTACTTTTGTATCTAATCACATTTTCGCTTTTGTTAAGGTACTGATGGCTGTTACTGTGCTGGCTGTGGCGAGAACATTCAGGACTCTTTCCACATGAAAGTACTTCAAGATACCTGGCACAACGCCTGCTTTCAGTAAGGATTTGCTTGACTATTATACACATAAAGAGCACTACTGCATCTATGCTTCATCTCTGTGTATGATGATGATATTTTCAGAAGAGAACCCCGTTCCCGAGGATAGAGATGCCCTGAAATGGTTACTATTGTTTGTTGGTTACATGTTACCTTTCACTGCTCGGTGTTCTTCATGTGTAATTTCCCAGAAGCTTCTCCCTCAACATACTTGTACACAGCCTACTGCTGCACTATTGTTGTGTTTGTAGAGAAAAACGACACCAACTATTTCTACTTCAAAGTCTGAGAGTCATCCGACAAAAAGCTGTGTACTGAAATGTAGAGTGATCAGTAGAAATTGTTATTTTTCTGGACTTTGCCCATTGCTTAATGATTGTTTAATGTTCTAAACCTAACAAGGTCCTTCCTGATGCCCACAAAAACCAAATACCATATGACAACTCTGTACTTATCAGTGTGTGTAGCATCTTTACTGCCCATGAGGATAACGGTAATGTTGGTTGATTTTGAGTTTTAGATGAATGGAAATCACATCCTTTATATGTATTCATGATTAAAATGTCCTGGGACCCCTGCATTAGTGAGTCCATGCCCTTTAGTAGAATTTGATGAAAAAGGAAATGAAGACCGTATCACCTGGAATGCCCATTATATGGCAATAAATATGAAAGATGCAGAACCTTTTGTAAGATACAGCACGTAAAATTACTTGTGATTTGTCTTTTATTGGTGCACTTAAAAATGAGGACCCCAAACCGTCCTGAATGCCGGATTTGAGAATCCAAAAAAACTGGAGTACAATAATTTTTCATGCAACATTGTGGGGACCTTTTTCTGTTTTAAAAGTAATAATCTGTTATGAATTTTCAATTGTTATCCACATTTTATGGGAAAGTCACAGCAAAGATTGGTAGAAAGGGTCGCATCTCATTCTATAATAGCTTCTCATAAGACATAATTATGAGAAAATCTACATTTCTGTGAGTCAAATGGTGAGCCTGAAATATTTAATGCCAAGGACAAACTGAACTGTGTAGCATTTTTAGCAAAGTACTGGTGTTAACATTTTACTGGTGGTGTCCTCTACCTGTCCTGTTGTGGTAACTTTAGGACTAGAACTGCCAGGGTTTGGGCATGAGGTGGGCTACTCCCTGCTATGATAAGTAGCAGAACCGAATGAATAACTGACCCAGACTGTAGCCTGCAGAGCAGACAGTGTTTTATAAAGTGTGCAGTGACGTTAGCCTGTGCCAAACGCTGAAGTGACCTTACATAACCCATTCACACTACTACGGTTACTTTTTTGGAATTGGCCGCATTCTTGATATAGCCACAGCAGTTCCAAAAATGATCTTTTATGTTTATTGCTTTTGTTTTACCCACAAGAAATCATCCATAAAACACAATAAATAGAGAAAAACATAACTAATAATTCTAGTTACACCATTTGCTCTTCCAACAATTGAACCAATGAAGTTCTCTTTCTGAAGTCTGAAAAAGAAAAATTCTGTGAGGAATGAGAACTTTTATTTTTTCTTCCCTTTATTCCTGAGATAAAATACTTCTTTAGGACAGAAAATAGTCTCACTTCAACTGCCATGTTTAAAGAAGGAAACGACTTAACCAAAATAAACCTGATTGGGACCCCCCCCCTGTGTAGATCCTATTGTCTATTGTCCACATGTTACCATTACCACTTTTCCCACAGCTTTTGCTGACATTTTTGTTGTATGACGACGTTCGTGTTCCAGTAAACCTGGCACTTCTCTGGGGGCTATAGGTAACACCATAGTCAATCACATTCCCAGACTGCGAATCAGAGGAGTGTGCCGGCTGCCCCAGACACAGACTACCTAATAATCAGGGCTGTGATATGGATTCTCTCTGCTGAGTGATAAGACCTTTTTAATATGCTTTTGTGGCCTAACATTAAAAGGTTAGGCCACAAATTATGCTGCAGATCTCAATTTTACCACTAAAAGAAGATTGAAATACCTTTTTACTTCTCCTTTTTAATGAACAAACTCAAATTATGATATTTTTTAGCTCACATATTGCTCACAATTACATCAACATCACAAATAATAAAGTGATAAACATCAAAATAATCAGGATTCCTGTACCTCCATAAACAGGTTCTAAAATGTCTTGAATTCATCCATCTCTCCTGGATAATTGATCTAAAATTAGCATAAATCATTGCCGAATCCAACATTGAATTTTCAAATCTACAGTCTCAGCTTTTGAAATCCTATTATTAAATATTGCATAAGTGTATCAAAACTACAGTGCGTATCACAAAATGTTTAAGATATGAAAAATATGAAAAATATGAAAAAAAAACATTCAGCCCTACCGCTTGCAATAAAATATACACATTGTGCATTTACATTACAATAAGTCATGTAGAATTGATAAAACAAGACAAAATACTGTCCTGTTTAAAAAGTGTGGTTTTGATGTCTCTCTGCTGAAAACCTGGACTTCTATAGATCACTCTGGGGGAAATGTGGATAATATGGCGGAAACTAAATGTTATTTATATATTTTATTATTATTAATGCAAAATAAAACCTTTTATTCTACATTCTATATTTTTTTGTTTTTGTTACATTGTAGACCATGGCCAAGTTTAAATAACTTCTTAAGATTTCGTTGCATACCAGATGATTCATTTTGAAAAGTCAAAGGTGTTTTTGTAAAGTCCAGAGCGAAGGTTATACCCTGCTGCACTATATTTATTACAGCATTAATGTCAAGTTGAGGAAATGACTAATGACTCTGTGTGTTTTCTTGGCATTGTATTGTCTGTGACATGTTCTCTCCTACATCATATTTTAGTTTTCTTAAGAACAAATGCATTAATGGAAAGATGAGGCTATATTGATTATCAAAATATGAATTAATTACAGCCCTATCCAAATACCTGTCATATCAATATTGATTCCTGTCACAGTTTCTGGTAAAACCAAGCAGTTTTGCTGTTGGCATAAGTAAACTGTGAAGCAGTTTTGAATGAATGCTTGGATCTCTTTGGACATGAAGTGCAAACTCTTCCTTGGGATGATTAGACTATATCTGTGTGATACAGCAGACTGGAGCCAGTACTCCGCTGACCTTGAGCTCATTCTCAATATTTAATATATTTTTGTATCTGTTGTTTTCTGTACAACATCATTCAAATACTAGAATTGTAGATGTATCAGTTTTAAACCCACATTAGTGTTTTAAAAACACGGTCTATGTACTGTATAATATATATACGGTACATATTTTGTTTGTGTTTTGCCTCCCAATATGCAAACGTCTGCTTAAGACGGCCCTTTTCTGAGATAATCAATCACAGGTGTGGCATATGAATATGACGGTTAGACCACAATGTTAGACCTAATTATAATTTTCATCACAATGCCATATATGGAGAATTATGTTATTCTATTTATGTTATTATCTAGTTATGTTATTCTATTTAAATGTACTGATGAAGTAATTTGGGCTGTAAACATTAATCCGTTTGTTGCACTAAACTTTCATTAACTTTTCTAGTAATCGATTAATCATTGAAAACTTGAATAGCAAAGATCTAGATGCTGAGATGGTTTCAAGACTCTTTTTACTTAAGGGCATTTGCATTTTCCCTTTGGTGCCTTCTCTATGTCAAATTGAGGAAAAAATACAGTTGTGTTCTAAACAACTAATGTTATTAGAAGGCATACCATCCCATGAGTGAGCATTTAAATGTTGTGTATTCATAATCAGCATCTTAACATGCTACACGGGACAGAGAAGTGGTCATATATGTGCAGATAGATCAACCTTAAGCAGAGTACACTTTACTAGCACAATATTTGAGGGACTGAATTATTTGTATTGGTTATTGTCTAACCTGCCTGTCAATCACTTGCATAACCAGTGCAGCTAGTTCAAAGAACACTCACAGCCTGCAGCTAACTCTCTCAGGATGCATGTTGAAAATGAAGTCTGTCCAATAAACACAATAAATTCAAATAGATGTAGTAAATGGAAAACGTTACGGTTACAGTATGTAACCATGTTCTCTGAGTGAAGAGACTATCTCTCCACCCAGTTACATATTTCATATGTACGGGGACTGACCCCACGCGGGTCAGGTGACATGGATAATTCTTTAAGACACACCACCTGTGAGATGGCTGATTGCGCTACAAAAGCACCCGTGTGCCCAGCGCACCTTGATCAAATTTTGATGTAACGGATCCCCGAGCGGAATCGAGCTGGAGAGATAGTCTCTTCACTCAGAGAACATGGTTACATACTGTAACCGTAACGTTCTCTATCGTATTGAGACTATCTCTCCACCCAGTTACTTATTTCATATGTACGGGGACTCTGTAAGACACACCGCAAGGGGATCGAGCAGGGTGTATTTCGAATGAGACGTTGCCGCCACCAATTTGAACAAAAACCACCCAAGTGACACAGTAAACTACACACATTAGAAGCCAACCTTGCCAGACGCAAGTTGTGACACACTGGCCCCAGCGCAAGACGCAACCAAGGCGACACAGCCCTGCAAGACGCAAAGGCCAGGCCACTATCATGAAAAATAAAGACGGGCAGCCCATTCTGCCAACGCAGGACATCGTTGCCCAGAACCCGGTGTCCCATCCCAACCTGCAAGACGCAAGGTTATGGGTAACCTCACTGGGGTTGCGCGGCACCCAGCACACGTTCCCCAAAGGACGTGCCTGTTGCTAAATCCAACCGGTAAAACCGAGAAAAAGTAGAAGGAGCTGACCACATGGCCGCAGCACAGATCTCATCCAGCGATGCGCCACGCCACAAAGCCCAGGACGCTGCCATCCCCCGTGTAGAATGTGCCCTCACATTCACAGGAAACTCAACCCCCATAGTCACATATGCTTGACGGATTGCATCTACAAGCCAATGCGACAGGCGAGCCTTAGAAAGGGGCTGGCCCAACTTCCCTTGCTTAAAACAAACGAAAAGCTGATCCACAGTCCTGTGCTCCCGTGTCCGAGTCATGTAGACCTGCAGGGCCCTGACTGGACACACCAGCGACCGTTCCCGCTCACCCCCTGCCTGCTGAACGAAGAACAGGGACCTCAACGAGATTGCCAAATCTGAGTGTCGACCTAGGATAACCTTAGGGACAAACATCGGGTCCGGTCGCAAAACTACACCAGCCTCCTCAGGCAGAAACCTACAGAGGTCCTGATGAACCGAGAGAGCGTGGAGCTCTCCCACCCTTCTTGCAGAGGCCAACGCCGTCAAAAGGGCCGTTTTCAACGACACCCACTTCAGGTCTGTTGTAGCCAGAGGCTCAAAAGGAGGCTTCACCAAGGCCTGCAAAACCAACTCCAAATCCCAGGAGGGAAGGGGTGGTCTTGTACACCTGCCACCATGCCGTCGGGCCCCTTTGAGAAACCTAGAGACCAGGTGGGACACACCCTCAGGTAAACTGTGTCTGCCTACCCTTTGTGCCTTGATAGCAGCCACCATTCCCCTTAATGTGGATGGTGACCTGCCCGCCTCCAGAAGATACTGCAAAAACTGCAGAATCTCTGGTGCTGTACATGCCAGAGGGTCAAACCCATGCTGCACACACCACTTAGCAAAGGAGTTCCATCGATGCGTGTATAGTGCCCGCGTAGATGGTGCCCGAGCACCCTCCAAAGTCTGCACCACAGAATCTGGAAGTCCCATAGCTAGCAACTCGGACCTCTCAGGGGCCAGGCCCAGAGCCTCAGCCCCTGGGGAAACGGATGAAACAGAGCCCCCAGGCCCTGCGACAGCAAGTCTGGGAGTTCCCACGGAGTCCCGTTGAGGAGACGTGGGATGTCCGAGAACCAAGTCATGTGAGGCCACAGGGGAGCCACCAGGACTACTCTCACTTCCTCCACCCGCACCCTCTGCAAGAGAGACGGGAGGAGACCGAATGGCGGAAAAGCATAAAGTAGACCGTGAGGCCACGGGTGAGACATTGCATCTACCCCGAGCGGAGGATTGTCCCTCCCCAAAGAGAAAAACAAGGGACAGTGGGCGTTCTGGCGAGACGCAAATAGATCGACTGACGCCTGCCCGTAACGGCCCCAAATGGCCCACACCACCTGAGGGTGTAGCCTCCAGCTGCCTGGATCCGGCCCTCCCCTGGAGAGCAGATCCGCGGCCACATTGTCCAATCCTGGCACATGCACCGCCCGCAGCGACAGGAACTTGGGTTGAGCCCACAGCCACAGTTGATGTGCGATCTTGCACAGGCAGACTGAGCCCAACCCGCCCTGTCTGTTCACATACGAGGCTGCTGCCACACTGTCTGTCCTCACCAGGACATGTTGCCCCTGTATGTGAGGAAGGAAGTGTCGAAGGGCTAGATATATCGCCCGCAGCTCCAGGACATTGATGTGTTGTGTTGTGTAGGCACCCCGCCAGTGTCCGCTGACCCCATTGCCTCTGTACACAGCTCCCCATCCCGTCAGTGATGCATCCGTCGCCACAAGATGACGATGAATCACTGGCCCGAGAGTGAGCCCCTTGTTCACATTTTCTGCGCAACGCCACCAACGAAGGGTCAATAGAAAACGCCTGGTGACCAGTACTGACACGTGTAGGTGTCTCTGAGGATCCAGACCCAGAAGATACCGTTGGACTGGGCGCATGTTCAGCAGCGCCAAAGGGACCGCCTGTGACATGGACGCCATAAGCCCCATGAGGCGGAGACACTGCCGCCATGTGACTCTGGCCCCCAGTCTGAACTGCGAGAGACAACTCTCGAAGGACATCAGTCTCGCCTGTGATAGTGTGAGACTTGCTGCCTGAGAATTCAAGACTAGGCCTAGAAAGTGCGTCTCTTGAGACGGTACGAGATGGCTTTTCTCGTAGTTGAGACGAAGCCCCAATTGACGCAGGTGTTCCAACAGCAGAGACAAGTGAGCCCGACACTCCTGCTGTGTCCCCGCACACAGGAGCCAGTCGTCCAAGTAGTTCAGAATTCTGATGCCTTCCTGTCTGAGAGGTGAGAGCACTGCTTCCATGCACCTCGTGAATGTGCGAGGAGCCAGGGATATCCCAAAGGGAAGAACCTGAAATTCGTACACCTTGCCGTTGAAGACAAATCTGAGGAAACGCCAGTGGCCTTTCCAGATGGGAATCTGAAAATAGGCGTCCTTCAGATCAATGGTAACAAATGAACCGGTTCAGTCCTCTCAGGTCGAGAATGGGGCGGAGCTTGCCGTCCTTTTTGGGAATCAAAAAATACCGGGAATAAAACCCAGCCTGTCTGTCGCCTGGTGGCACTACTCTGATTGCCTTCTTCTCCAACAGGGTAGAAATCTCCGACAGGAGTACTGCCCTGTGTTCGGAATGCACCTGAGTGACCACCAAAGGGGACACTGAGGTGGGAGGCTTCCGTACAAACTGGATACGGTACCCCTGCGTCATGGTAGACACGACCCATGGGGACGCACCCATGGCCATCCAGGCAGTCCGGCGTGTCTCGATGTCGGGGAAACACGCTGGGTCCATCCTGGCGTCAGGACTGAGGCGGAGGCTTGGGTCGGCCCTTAGCCTGAAACCCAGAACCTGATGGCCCCCCTTTGCCCCTGCTCCGTCGCCGCTGGGCCTCAATGGTGGTACGTAAGTCCCGTGAGCCCCAGTTTTGCTGCTGACCGGTTTGTGTAGGTGGCCTGGATGCGGAACCTGCACTCTGCCACTTGCGCCGCCGCACAACCACCCCAGACACTTCCCGCGCACATCTGCGTGCCTCCTGGGCCTGCTGTAACATACTCATGGCACCAGGACCAAACATGGCCTGAGGGTCAACCGGGAGTTTCATCAAGCCACTTTGATCCTCCGGCTGCAGTGGTGACTGGGAGAGCCATAGCTGCTGCCTGGTTACCCAAAGAGAAGCAATACTCTTCCCTGCCACTGCTGCTTGCTCCTTCATTAGCTGAACCATAGATGAGGAGACAAGCTGCAACTCTTTAACCAGCCGCTCTGAACCCTGTCCCCCCTCCAACTCATATGTAAGCTGACGATTATACAAGGTCAGTATAGACATAGTATTGGCTAGCTGTGTTTGAACAGCAATGGTCCTATGCACCTTAGCCAAAAGTGCATCCACCATTCTACTACCTCTGGAGGGACATGTAGTTTTCCCCAGCCCAGAACTGGACGGAGAAATTAGGGCTGCAATTGACTGGTCCACCTGAGGAAGAGTGGCACAGCCAATCTTCTCACGATCCTGCATGGCAGACAGCCGTCTGCAGCTAACAGAAGTTTTAAATGCATCTGTTGGTCTGGTAAACCCAGCCTGGATTAGCTCCTCCACATCTGAAAGAAGTGGAACCGAAAAAGATCCATATGGTTGCCCACAACCACTGTCAAACCGTGAGGGGGTGGGTGCATTTACAGCTCTAGACTCCACACCAAGGGCCTGAGTTGCTCTCTCAATTAGCCCTTTAAACTGCAGCAATGCACTATTAGGCTCCCTGTCCTCACCTACAGATGCCGTGCCCTCCTGGTCAGGTGCCAAATCACTGTCTGAAAAACACTCCACATCCACATCACTCACGTCCTCCTGCTCATGAGGCTCAGAGGTGTCATGCACAGTAATTGTAAGTGGAGGCCCAATCATGGGAGTCTTTGACCTAGTTCCCAACCCTCTGTCACGTTTTTCCTGGCTCAGCTCAGTAACAGAGGCTTTCCGTTTCTTGCCCCTAAACAGACAACAACGAGCCTCGAGTGACGGCCTGGGTATAATAAAGCAGTTCATGCAAGAGGACGGGTCTTCCCTGGCCGCAGAGGCATGATCCTCTCCCAAACATAAAACGCACTTCATATGCCCATCCTCAATGGGCATTTGCACCCCGCAGTCTTCACACGTGTGTGACATTGCGAAGTCTCGCGAGAACGCGAGCACTGCTTGTTTATGTTTCACTTGCCAGACCCGCACGAGTCTGAAACCACAGACAGCGGCTTCCCCCGCACCAGGTTTCACCGCTGCCAACTCCTGCCTGTGACGCGTAAACCCCGCACGGAGCAATGCGTCAGGCGAAGAGGACCGTGGATCCAGAAGACCGCGTTCCCCCCACGGGTTCAGCAAGTCCTCGTGTCTGTGGCGTGTAAACCCCTTGTCAGGGCAATACGCCAGACACCGGATCTTTCCTAACACTGAAGACAGTCACCCCGAGAGGTATTCCTCCCTCTTACCAAGTAAGTGGCAAAAAAACAGTCTTCAATTGTAGTATTTGTTTGTTTGTTTGTTCGATTTTCTTCCGTCGTTCGTCCACCTGCCAACGTGGAATCAAAATGATCAAGGTGCGCTGGGCACACGGGTGCTTTTGTAGCGCAATCAGCCATCTCACAGGTGGTGTGTCTTAAAAAATTATCCATGTCACCTGACCCGCGTGGGGTCAGTCCCCGTACATATGAAATATGTAACTGGGTGGAGAGATAGTCTCAATACGATAGAGAACACTTTTTTTGCTTTCTTGTATTGTTTATTGTATAAGAGTTAATTATTTTCAATATACTGTATTATGTTAGTTCTCTTGGTTGCTAAAACATGTCACTATTCCTTTGGTATTTACTGCCCTTTTCACCTTGTGGCAAAGAAAAGTACAAGTTGAGTACTTGCAGGGAATCTGCCCAAGGGAAAGACGGATCCTACATTTTACAACCACTCAGTTTGAGATTGATTGATTGCTTCACTTTGTCCCCTTTTCAGTTATAACTGCTGTCTTACAACTGTATTACCCAGGGAGACACGTGGCTGATATTTTACAGTATAGATGAATGTATATTAAGCTATTACAATTGAACCCCCTTTTCCTTTTGCAGATGCTCGGTGTGCTGTGACCACTTAACAAACTGGTACTATGAAAAGGATGGGAAGCTTTACTGCAGGAAGCATTACTGGGAGAAGTTTGGAGAGCTGTGCCACGGCTGCTCTCTGCTTATGACGGGGCCGGCTATGGTGAGTACTAATGCAACCTGCTGTACAGTTTCATGGTTCGTTTTCATAGTATGCTTATTAGTTACGCTGTCACGATGTTCAAAATGTTGTTAAGAATACTGAGATTTCAAGAAGAAAATCTTTGTGATCAACGACATTTCTTTCAGCCAATCAATCTTGTATTTAGTAGAATCTTGCTGCTCAGGCCAATATCTCACAACACACTGTATGATTTTTTTAATTTAAAGATTGTTTACAGAGTGAAGGTTTTTGTAAATACATTTTCCAGAATCAAAAAAGACAAAACTTCATTACATCCAATTCACAACAGTTACAAGTTGAGGGTTGACTACATAAATGCTACCTGGTCATGACCAAAAAACATCTGTCTAAACTTGTTCAACAAGGAGCCAAGAAACATTTTTAGTTGCCTGTGCCACTGACCAACAGATATACTGGACTGCTATTCAGTATCGGCATCCTGCTTCATAGAACAGTGGCCAAGGGCTTCTGGCTCAGCTTAATTGGTGCTGCAGTATTTTAGCCATAAAAATGATCATTGTGGTGCATCAACAAAGAGTCGTGTGTTAGACACTCAAGTCCAGCAAACAATTGTTTTTGTCCCTGTTCTGTCTGTTATCTGTTCGGTCATTAAGTAAGGGTGGTAACAGAAAGGGATGTAGGGATTAGATGCGCTATTTTTGGTGCAACAATGTTGCTTTGGTCCAGTAACATGAACTCCCCCTCTTCCCTGGAAAAGGTCTATCCTGGTGCTTGTGCATGTGTCAGCATTACTCTGGAGCCTGCGGTAGTGGCTTCTGTTTTGCAGATATGGTGTCACTGTGTCTTGACTTGGCTGAAGGGTTTACAACTTAACACAAAAGCATTGAGTCAGAGATGGATACAGTTGCTGCCAGCCAAATGGCATAAAGCATCACAACATGACATAACTGAAATAAATGTTAAAGGAAAAGTTATAGAAGACATTATTGGTTTTGTGTAGGGATGTGCTGAAAAGTACCTTTTTAAAATGATATCAATGAATATACGTTTTATTTTGATCTTTCGACTTTAATAACAATTCATCTTGAATAAGTCAATTGTAAATGCACCAATAGTGTTAGTTTAGCTAAAAAGTGGCAGAGCATGAGAGCGAAAACTTTTTTTTTCTTTTTACTGAATGTTAAGAAATATATCATGTTGAATTGCTTCAAAATGAAAGCCCCGTTATCTTGATCTGTATTGTATCTTGTCATTATACTTGGTATTATTTATACTAAGTACAACCAGCCATTAACATTGACAAAACATACATTTATTTGGTCTTCTTTTGGAATTGAATAACTTTATTCAATTATTATTCCAAAGCAGCCCTAATAAAAGCAAAGAACAGTGTGAACCTGTGGCTGTGTGATGAGCTCATGCAGATTCCAGACTCGCTGTGAGGAAACCAGGTGTTCGTGTTGGTATTAGGTATTTGTCACGAGGAGGAGGGACTTGGATCTCACGCAGTGCTCGTGTGTCTTCATCTGTGTGGGAACACGGGGCGGCCATCAAACCAAGCCGCCCTCTGACGTGGGACATTTGTGCGTTTCAGGTGGCTGGAGAACACAAGTATCACCCTGAGTGTTTCGTCTGCCTGAGCTGCAAAGTGATCATTGAAGACCGGGACACTTACGCTTTAGTGGAGAGGTCCCAACTGTACTGGTGAGTCAAGAAGCATTTTTTTAATCCGCTGTGTTGAGTACAATTGTGTTCTATTCAACTTGCAGAGTAGGATGGCTGAATATTTCGGCTTCACATTCAGTTGTATTTATGCATGTTCAGGCTTTGACTGATGTTTTATTATGTCATGATATACTGTACTTAGCCCACTGCAAAAACGGATATCATTTTCATCTGGAACGCTGAAGCCTCGCTCACCAGACGCACATTCTCTAGTTTTCAGACGCAGGGGTCTTCAGACCAGAAGTCCCGGCGCGCGCCGGAAGTGGCGCAAGTAGCCGGCGGGCTTTGATGCTAACAGAGTTAAGCTAGCGGCTTCTTGTGTAAAGTTCTTCTCCAATAATGCAGCTTTGCAGCGTCTCTGTGTTCAGAGACCTTCCACAGACTTTATATAACAGCAGTATGTATTCATGGAGGTGCGCAATAAGTTTATTTTATTATTAAACGGTACTTCTGCATCGGCGAACACGCTCAAAGCAGTGGCATAAGGTCACAGGAGCATGAAAACGCATATGTACACAAGCACACAGTCCCCCATTGTCAACCCTGGTTTTAGTCCTGGTGTGGCTCCTGTTTTGGCTGTTTACGAGTATTTTCAGTCTGCTCGCTCCGACCGCTAATCAATCAATCAATCAATCAAATTTTATTTATAGAGCCCTTTACAACACACAAGGCGACCAAAGTGCTTTACAAAAAAAAAATCAGATAAAATCAGTTAAAAACATTCATACAACCAAACGATAAAACCATTAGAAACTAAAGTGTCGCCGTGCTACTGAGTATTAAAAGCCAGTCTGAATAAATATGTCTTGAGTCTAGATTTAAAAAGGCCAAAGTCAGTGATAGTGCGTAGATCAGGGGGCAGCTTGTTCCAGAGCTTTGGTCCAGCAACTGAAAAGGCTCAATCACCCCAATGTTTGGACCGAGTCCTGGGCACTTCCAGTAAAAGCTGGTTTGATGACCTCTGTGATCTGCCCGAGTGTTGGCTAATGTCCTCGTGACCACTTTGCTGCTCTCTGATTGGTCCCGAGGAAAGGTTGAACAATGTTTATCTCCTGTGTGCGTCGATTTTCAGCTCCTGCACCTCCCCTTCGACTTTGCCGCGCAGTCCGTGCGTCTCTACTGAGCAGTCCGTGCGTGCATTCTGAGACACTCGAATGCGCATCACCATTGACTTTGCATTGAAAGCTGACGCAACACATGATCCGGTCTGAACGCGGCATTAGGCTGTCTTCAAACACGAGTGAGAATTAAATGAGTTTTAAAACTGAAACTAAGATACAATGAATTTTATTTAAACAATGTTCTACTTACAGTTTGTAATTATTTTCAGTCGTCAAGGATTTGGGTCTTCAAATATGAATACATGTATCGAGTCAAAATGAACAAATAAAAACTTTTCATAGGAAGATCCATTTTATTTATGGAAATGCCCCTGACCCCTATGATAATACACACTATAGCAGAAGCATGCTCTGCACATCTGTTAACGTTGGCACAATCACGTCATGTCACAATCTCATAAATGCATTGGTGGTTATATCCTGTTCATGCTGTTACTTGCTCATGTGCTTCTTGCAGTGGAAAGTGTTACAAACAGGTCGTCCTAACACCCATGTTGGAAAAGCGTTCACATGACTCTGTCCTGGATGCACTGCCCCACACAGTGACCCTCATCTCCATGCCGTCTGCCGCTAATGGAAAGAGGGGCTTCTCTGTGTCAGTGCAGCGGGACGTGAGCGGAGCGGCCAGCGTGCAAGTGAAAGAGTAAGGAGCACCTGCCCACACTAATGTCAAGAGAGGCAGGCTTACATAAGGCTGATTACAGGTTATTCTAATAGCACACTTCTTGCAAAGTGGTGCCTTTTTTTCTATAATCTTGCACAAGGAGGAACATGGTAACAGACAATTTGACTCCTCCAAACCTTATTGTGTTTATCTGTTTATGAGTATAATATCATTTGTTGCGAGTATAATGTCTATGCTATTCATATTCATACACTGCTTCAACATTTGTTTGGACTGTTTGTAGCATAGGCATATCATAAGAAATAGCTTCATACCAAAAGCACTCTTTCTGATTATGGAAAAGTAAACTAATGTTTTTTTGTTGTTGTCATACAGTATTAATATAATATAATGCAATTGACCACATTCTCCATGTCTTTATTCAGAGTCCGGGGAATGCTCATTAGTCCAGAGGTGAGGAATGCCATTCATGTTGGAGACCGGATCCTTGAGATCAACGGGCTCCCAGTGGGGACGCTTATGGAGGAAGAGGTATTTGAATATTAGCTCTTAAATCAGTCTAGTATATCAAGATAAAGATAAATTCAACATTCTTCTTATTGTGTTTTCATAATTTGAGTTTGGTTGGTACGTATGTTTAGCCTGACTCTCGCCAGACCCATGTAGTTCGCTCGAGTTCGCTGCACTTCACACATGAGTCTGGTACTGAGCCATAGTGGTTGGATTTCAGAAGGCAGGGCCTTGTAAAAAAATCCTTGTATGTGATTGGATAGATCACTTGTCCGTTATCTTGAATGAAGTGTGCTTTCAACCACTCACATCGAAGCACACGGCTACCATAGGTTGCCAAATCCCAGCAAGATTTTCCAACCCAAAATCCGCGAGAATACCCCAAAAAAATACACTCAGAATGATTTTTTTGGCTAAAAACGTAATGTAATCAACTTGGGCTATCATGATTCTGTTTATTGTCTTTCTGTTTATTTAATACCTACAAGAAAAATATATGCAGGAACCACCAAACCTGGCAACCCTGCTGCATAGTGTGTAAACAGGAACACTGAACCAGTGCTTCAACCAAACTTTACAGGAACATTTGACTCTTAAAACACACATATATCAAAATAGAACCATCAACATCTCGCATCAAGTTGCATTAAAAGTGACATCCGTGTCTTAATTCCGCCATCTTGGATTCCTCTCGCTGCTGCATGAGAGAAGCTTGAGAAGGCAGTGCAAACCCCACGTAACACCGGCAATCCTGATTGGTCGATTAAAAAATAATCTGGGGAAGGCGTTCGCTATGACGTCGATACCAGACCCATGTGGTTCAGCCAAACGCTTCTGGTGGAGCATGGCGGAACTACAAGGGTCTGGCAGAGCCAGGCTAACGTATGTTGGCCACCTACATGTCTATTTTATTTCATGAAATGGACACCTTCTTTTGATGTACAGTAGGGTTATACATTTATAAAGTTTGGGTTTCCATTTGTCTGACTCAGGTGGACGACCTCATACACTGCACAAGTCACACACTGCAGCTGCTGATCGAATATGATCCGGTTCGACACCGCTTGGACCGCCTCAGACTCAGCTCTCCACAGAGTCCCCTCGGGATCCCGGCCATCTCCAGAATGCGCCTGTCCTCTCCTTCAGGGGCCGTCCTAGAAAGAACTGACGTGGTGGACGATGGGACACGGAAGAGGCCATCTTTGAGGTACAATTGAAACTCACCTAGGATGTGTGGAAATAGAGGAATAACTTTGTCCTGTAAAGTCTTACAAATAAGTTGCTTTGTTGATTGGTTGATGGTTTTGTAGCCCATTTACTGGTCAACTAAATAAATCTAAATTACGACGAGTTCTCATGGACTGCAAGGTGACACATTGGATAGCATTTGTGCTTCACAGCTAGAAGGGGCTAGTCTGTGGAGTTTTTATGTTCTCCCCGTGTCTGCGTAGTTTTCCTCTAGGTACTTCGGTTTCCCTAAACCATGTACCTATGTACAATAGGTGAGGTTTAAGTGATTGTGGACTACAGATGGAAATTGGCTATATAGCTATGATGTTGTGTTTTCAGCTCCAACTGTTTATGAATGCGCATTGTCACATACAAATACAAAAATAAATCAAAACAATTCTATGGGAATAAAGCACTAGAAACCATGGAGAAAACAATTTGAAGAGGATTTATTTGTTACTTTCACACCCAAGCCAGATGAATCATTATCTATTGTAGTGTTTTATTCTAAGCAATTCTAAACCAAAAGTCTTGCGATTACACTTTGGGCCCATTAAATCACACTTTTTTGGCCGACTAATCGATCAACTGGCCCTTGACAGCCTTTTTACTACTACTACTAATTATCCTGCTACTATCACAAATGTACATACTCATGTTTTGTTCTCCACAGGCGAAGCAGCAGCACCTGTAAATCACCAGGCCCATACTCTCCTAAAGACCAGCCTTTTATTTCACGTGACATTGGCCGTTCTGAGTCTTTGAGATCACCCAGTAGCTGCTCTCATCGCATCTTCAGACCATGTGACCTCATTCATGGTGAAGTCTTGGGGAAAGGCTTTTTCGGACAAGCCATCAAGGTGAGATGTTTGTAAAAAACATGGCCTTCGGAGTCTTCTGCTTACATTTCTGGTATGCTTATCATTTGTCAGGTGACACATAAAGCCACCGGTGAAGTGATGGTGATGAAGGAGTTACTGCGGTGTGATGAGGAAACACAGAAAACATTCCTTAAAGAGGTGAGCTGAAAACACACGGCAGAAGGCTTGTATTCATTACATTCACAATTCGAAACTTAAGACCTTTGCTATTTTGGGATCCTATTAAAGTACTTGAGAATGTCTTCAGTGTTTTCAAAATAAATAGATGTAATCTTTTAAAACATGTCTTGGTTTTTTAGGTCAAAGTAATGCGGAGCCTGGATCACCCGCACGTCTTAAGGTTTATTGGTGTTCTATATAAAGACAAGAGACTGAATTTGATAACAGAGTTTATCGAAGGAGGAACTCTGAAGGACTTCATCAGAGACACGGTGAGTGAGACAGTAGTGGTCTGTTCAGGCTGATACAGATGGGCTGACCTGAGGTAAACCTAGATGGTCTGTGTGTCAGCTGGTCACAGGCACTGAGTGGAAAAAGAAAAGCTTTGCAAAGTGTTTCCAGGTGAAAGTCGGAGTGTTGCACGCTATTTTTTCCACAACCTACTTCTAATGTTCCCAGACCATATGTGCATACCATTTAAATTAAAAGTATATGGAGCATTTTCTGGGCATTTTTTGTAAAGAAACCTTTTTATACTAAAAAAGAGATTTCAAGATCTTTTTACTTGCTTAGAATTTACTTTTTACAGTGTAGTAAATACATTTTTTCAGTGAATAAGTGATATTCTTATTGTTTTGCTAGGACCCGTTTCCATGGGAACAAAGAGTGAGCTTTGCGAAGAGCATTGCCTCTGGAATGGTGAGTTTGAAACGGTGGTTATAATGTGTTACTAAACAAAAGAATTGTGTGTAAACAAGTGGACCATTATTCATTTCAGACGTATTTGCACTCTATGAACATCATACATAGAGATCTGAACTCTCACAATTGCTTGATTAAACTGGTAAGAGATTCAAATACCCTGACTAACTTAAGTTAGTCCTATTACATGTGTATTTGGACAGATTTATAGACTTAACTTTTCCCCAGGACAACACAGTTGTAGTTGCTGACTTTGGACTTTCCCGTCTCGTTGTGGAAGAAAAAGTTAAACCTCCATCTGAGAAAACATCCAACAAGAAAAGAGTTTTTCGACGCATTGACAGAAAGAAGAGATACACCGTTGTGGGAAACCCATACTGGATGGCACCAGAGATGCTCAATGGTGTGAATGTTTGATCTTTTAACATACAAGATACTGCCAATATTTCTGTGAGAGGAAATTAAACTTTGTGTTTTTAGGTAAACGGTATGACGAAAAAGTGGACATCTTTTCTTTTGGAATCGTTCTTTCTGAGGTTTGTTTTTTTTACAAATGTGCAAATTAGTATAACATTTACATAATATACATAAAGAAAATTAAAATCAGAATCATTTAAACCTGATGAACCGTTTGCTCTTCGTTACAGATCATTGGCAGAGTCTATGCTGACCCAGAGTGTCTTCCCAGGACCATGGACTTTGGTCTCAATGTTGTTAAGTTTGCTGAAAAGTTTCTTCCTGAAGATTGTCCTTCAGCATTCTTTCCACTGGCTGTGGCCTGCTGCGACCTCACACCAGACAGCAGGTTGGCATTTACAGTTGTTAACGAGTTAAATGTTATATTCTGACAAGCAGCTGCAACAAAGCAATGGTGTGTCCGATTTGTGCTGGAAGTGTTACATCTTTAAGTAATTTTTTGTCAGTCCTCTTATGTCTGCCTGTTTACATCCCTAGACCACCTTTTCAGAAGTTGGAAGACTGGTTTGAAGCTCTCTCTCTAAACCTGGAGCTTGGGATACCCTTGCCTGCCGAACTAGAAGAACTGCAGCACAGTCTCAGCCCTCTCATAAGTCCAGAGGACAGTTCTTCAAGTACCAGTCAGCCCATAACACCCACGACAGCATCATGTCCCGACTCCCCAGAGTCTATGGCAGAAAGTTGCTCTTAGTGGAGAATCTTTTTGTCTAACCTATGACCTTTGTGCTGTTGAAAAGACTTGAGCCTTTAAAAAAAAAAAAAAAAAAAACTGGATTACCCTGAAAATGCTGGACCCAAGGTATCGTGACTGCAATGGAAACTAGAGTTGACCCTATGGGCACAATACTATACTATTAGAAGTGTTAGGTTTGTGTTACCTCGTGGACTCATGTATTATGTTTACAGATCATTAACCACTTGTGCTTCTTGCTCTTTTCATCTGTGTAAGACAGGAGTTGAGTTTGATAAGTCCTCATGTGATGGTTCTGTCTGGCTCCTGCTACTATGTGTGGAATGCACAGGATCAGTCCAGAACAGGAGCCTTAGAAACAAAAATAAAGTAGTTTGACATTTGGGCTGATGGCAGGTTAGAGCTGGAGAGGGCACAGAATAGTCTTCATAGACATTGAAATGCTTTGCTTCAAAAAGTAATGTTAGTCAGCCTGGCACCAGTGGCTTTGACAAGAAGGCACTGGAGCTGCAAGATTAATTGCAATTGATATGCAATTCAAGTGGTCGCAATTAGCAAATCGTAATTATGGTGCTATTATGCGAAAAGAAATGACATTGCGAATGGAAAAAATCTCTTGAATTATGGATGATTTTGATTAAACATGTTCACTTGTCGCAAAGTTAAGACAAAATGTTATTCATCATATCCAGCTTAAAACATTTTATGCTTTCTCCATTGGCAAACATGCTTTAGGAGTGAAAATGTTCTAAAACATAAAAGCAGAAGGAACAATATATCATACATTGCAATGTTTGTCTCAATCATTGCAAGTAAATATTCTGCCAAAATGCAGCACAATAGTGTTTACTTATTTTTCCAGTCACAAAATAAAACATGCTCAGTCGAGCTTTCATATTAAGATAGGTCTGTACAATGTATTATATTTTGTATATATTGTACATAGGACTTTATTTTGTCAAGTCTAGATTAAGTCTGTAGATTAAGACTTCATCAAAACCGGGGGTCTTCAAAACTAACAGAAGAGCAAGGTACTGAGCCTCTTTTTTTATAACACTGTAGTATTGTAGTACTTTTCAAATAAACATTTAAGTTATATGTGTGTCCATTCAAATGCAATGTTTTTCAGCCATTTTGAAGTATGAGTTCCCACAGAATTTCTCTGGTTAGTCAGGTGTAATTGCAGAGACCATTCCTTCGTTCGCTAGTGACCAGTGGAAAAGTAGAAATGTGTTTGTAGAAAGTTTTTTTGGTTTTAGTTTTTATTTCAAGTCACTGAAAAGTAAAAATACAAACTTGTCAAAATTCTATACTCAATTTTCCACAACTAAAATGTGAGTCAGCACACCAAATGATGGCGCAATAGTAGTCAACACACAACAAACTGCTGTGATGGAGTGATATTCTGGCCATATGAAAAAAGGTGCTTTTTAGTGACTAGCATGCTGTCTTAATGGCTGTTACTTCACACACGCAACAAGCACCACATATGTACAAGTTTTAATATTGTAGTTCATTCATGGCTCTATTCTTAAGTGCATATCTTAACGTCAGAATTATAACCAGGCAAAAGGCTTTCCAGCTTGCACTGTATACGCCCAGGGCTTTTGTCCTGAGGACTAACTATTGTCTCTTACTTCCTGAATTTCCTGTCACTCCTTAACCTGTGAAAGAAATGGGCCTGATTGTTCTCTAGACCTAACCATGAGTAACATTGGCCCATAAGTCAGTAACAAAAATGTACAAATACATTCTGATGAATCATGCAAAAAGGCAGTTTTTGAAATCTCAGCAATGTCTCATCTTCACCCATTTTGTTCTCCTTCCATCACAAAGGGGCAGTTTTTTTGCACACAGAATCATTGTGTCCGAGTCTCATTTAAGCGAGACCACTCACAGAAATCCCCTTTAAACAATAGTTAACAGACTAAAGCCAAGGTTTTATCCATCCATCCAAACCACCTGAAAACATTCAAAAACACTGAAAAGTAAGATCCTGTGGGTTTTCAGTAACTTAATTACTAAATCATAATGAGAGATTAACTCTCATTGTTGTCCACTGCTTCACAGATGTAGCAACTGTGTAAACAGAGGGTGTAGAGACACAACACAGCATTTGATGAAGTCTTTGGAGTGAGTCCCACAGCTCCATTCACAGAAAGAGCATACAGTGGGAGTGTCTTGGTCCACTAAACCTATCCCTCATGAGTATTGTTCACGCTCCAGGGGTCCCAGCTGAGCCCATGAGTGGATCTCCCCCCTCCACAGCCTCCTGGACTGGGGCGGGCTCTTGCTCAGCAGTAATAACTATAGTGTTTTCATCCACGAGCTCACAGGCCGGGTTGGAGAAGGCAGAGAGAGGGAGGTTGATCCTTTGCATCTGACGATCATACACTCGCTGCTCATGCTGCTTCTTCAGGTCTCGACCCCTGAAACAGACACCATTTCATTACACTCAACTGTCTTAATCGCTTACTCCATTGGAGAGTGACAAAGAAAGTAATGATGGTTTCACATACACATACGCACATGGAAGAAATGTATGAATGAAATGCACATCATTGGAAATCATTAACTAAAATGAGAAACATCTCAACGGGCACGGCTGATCAGATTTGACACTGCATAGACATTTGCAAAGCATTATGTGCGGAGCCAAACCTGGCCTCACTGTTCTAGAGCCAACATTTTGTTTTTCACATAACTGTTTGTAAAGAACAGAGCTACCAGTAAAATCTTCCTTCAACACTGCTTTTCATGAAAAGAGGATTTCCTACATCCGGATGGATCATCAAGATTATCGTTCCTCCCAATTTTGTATCATTCTGGTGATAAGTGCTCTCAAATAAGACCAGAGAATTTTGTTCAAAAAGTGGAGAGGGCGGTTTGTTCCTAAAATTTGGGAAAATCCTCATATACCTTGAACATTGTGTAAAAAGTATTTAAATTTACCTTTTGTAGAAGTAGCCCACAGTGATGCCTGCACCAAGGATAATTATTATAGTAATCATCAGGATTCCAAGCACATAACCTACCAAAACATAAGGAGCAAATTTAAGCAATAAATATTACAAAACAGCAAAGAAGGTTATAAGAATGCAGATATACCAGTAGTGCCCAGATCCTTCTTCTTTTGGGGGCCTTTCCGCACTCTCTGGCTGACTCCCAGGACCGAGGGCCCTTCAGCAGCGCTTCTGTTAGTGGAAGGTGTGGTTTGTGCGGAGCGAGGGCCCCCAGCCCCTGGTGGCACCGCTGAACTCGGGTCTGAACGATAGAGAGCACTTTAGATTAGGAGTTGTCAAACATGTGAAATATGAAGATTCACCACATAGTTAACAAACACAGATTCTCAACTGCTGCGTGGGGACCCAAAAGCCCGTTTTTGTCTGGGCAACATTTATGAAATGTTTCAGCTAAACTGCAAAAAAGTTGCTGATGAAAAAACCCCAAAATAAATCCTTTAAGAAAGTACTGTTGTCTAAATGTCTCAAATGTTAACATTATTATACTATTATACATATGGGCACATGGTCCAAATGTTTTCCCTGGCTGTAAAATATTCTTCAAAATGTAGAAACAATATACAGTATTTTACATTATTTATTTACTAAATAATGTAGTGTAATACGGGTCTTGTTTGGGGAATATGTTTATGGAAGGTCCCAACAACGTTCCTGTTAGATGATTCTGCTCGTGTTTCTGTCATATCAAGATAACTTCAGACACTGTCAATAAACTGACCTTGAGATTAGAATAAGCAGTCCTTGATTAAAATTAATTATCTTATACAGTCAAAACAAAAAGAATATGGCCAACTGCAATGGTTAGTCACTTTGACCTTGATATGCTGAAAAAAATAGTTTACCACTAGGAACTGTTTCTACAAACACTACTGGGTGTTTACCGCTCGAGAGCTTTGACTGGGTTTGCATTTCACCTCAACATGAGCCTGCAGCAGACAGAACATACTGAGGTCTCTGTAACATACTCATTTCACTGGAGTGCATATGATTTGTAGAACATGCAACGGCCAGAACAGTCTGTGAGTCTATTTTAAGAGGAGGCAGGAAGACTTGACTGGAACATTTGCTCTTATACTTTTTCCATCCCGCCAGTGTAGCTTGTAGTTTACTCATCTAATGTTAAAGGGCACAAAGTCAGACCTTTAACTAAATTCTGTTTCTATGCAAAGACTTCCCCTCTGAGCCAATCATAGCCTGTTTGGGGTGTGGTCAACTCAACTTTTTTCAAACTTTTGAGTCCTGACACGTGACTGCAGACTGTTATTGTAGAGCAGAGTGAAAAGCATTTGTTACTCTGAACCGACTGACTGACGCTGCCACACACTAGACATGATTAAACCAGGACAGGATGTTTGCAGCATAAACAACTAAAGATCTGTCAAGTATCAGGTTTAGGGTTAAACACTTATTTATGACTTTGATTCTAGAAGTAGCTCCTAAGAACATTTGTTACTCTACAGAGAGTTTGGTAACATGCATTTGTACCTAGACATGGCTCTATTTCGCAGAAACCCCTTTGAGTTGTTCCCTCAGTCCCATCAATGTAGCACCAAGGCCTCTCAGCAGCGTCTGGATTTCGACAGTAATTGTGATCTCCAACACCTATGGGGCAAATATGTATATATATATATAAAAAACAATTATTACAGAAATGAAACTTTTTCCTGTGTGCACTGCAGTGGTAAACAATGCTTTCATAAATCATTAACACGCCTTCATCACGTCACAATGAGCTTCCAGAGGAAACTGCAGCTGCTGTTTGCATAGAAGAAGGCATGCAATCAAAAAAGCATCATAAACTTAATTTAGCTTTATCTGCAATGCGTTGTATAAATATGCCCAGCTCAAAGATAAGAGGTTAAATGTCAAATGGATAATAAAACAGAACAGTACACTGTGCAGTGCAAATACATTGTAATAACAATATCAAATCACATGGTTATTTACCAGTTTGTGAATCTGGATGGTCTGTAACATCATAGTCTCTGGTTATGTTGATCCAGTTCAAACAAGTCAGACCCGAGGAGGTGCTGTGTTGCTTCCCTCTATACCCCACTCCGTTCGCTTTCACACAGTCTGCAAAGCGCACGGACAGAAAAAAAACACGTTAATTTAATCAAACGAGAGCAAAAAGTTGGTCTGAATCTACACAACTGGAGATACCAGTGGACAGCGCACATCCAAAGTCATTACCTTTTGTCTCCTGGCTGAACACGTTGTCCACAAAAAACATGGTCATGCAAACAAGTTGCAAATAGGAAAACATTTTGAAGCTTAGTGCATAGAAAGACGAGTTAAAAAGCTACAGTAATGCAGGAGAAAAGAGTGGGAGCCTGTGCTGAAGCCATCGGTCACACTGCTCCTCTTTCCTCTTGTTTTTGTCTCAGGCAGGACCAGGACCAGGACCAGGACTCAGCTTTCTTCGTAAACAGCTTTCAGTGGGAGGAGGCTGGAGCGCGTTCACTGCCAGGTCCTAAAGCCTACCTCTACTGCAACTCCCCAAAAATACATCTAAATCAGGGGTCTCCAACCTTTTTCATCCAGAGAGCTACTTTCCCGTGTCAATAACGGCAGAGAGCTACTCCTTTAAGCAGCCCTGGGAAAAATGTGGCGATACATTGGTGTGAACTAGTCTGATATTAGGTACAATCGTTATTTATCATTGCATATCTGTTACTAGAGCACAAAATAAGTGCATTTAAAGGAATATAATGAATAATACAATCTGAAATAGTATATTATATATTTTGTACATTTCTAAATCCTTGGCGAGCTACCTGGAAGGAGGTGGTGAGCTACTGGTGGTTCCCGAGCTAGAGGTTGGAGACCCCTGATCTAAATCATAGATCATAGACGTCATGTACTTTCATGCATAAGCTTCTGTTCACAGCAAGTACATAGCACCGATAGAGAGTGTGGGAAAAATAGCCATAAGCATAATAACCATTATAATTTTCTGTATGCGAAAGCTGAGCCAAAGATGCAACAGGGACAAAAATACATGCATTTGAAAACTGGTGATAGAACCAAATTATTTTAGTGAGAGGCATGTATTACTTTCTGTAGATTAAAAGTTCATCCTCAGTGTGTAAAAGCTGACAAATAAATACTGATTTCCTGCATGGGTGAGTATGAACACATTTGAGGTTTCGATGTAGAAATATTTATTAGGTAATTTAAAAAGATGCAAACGTTTGAATGATGTTGTGCACAATACAATACAATACAATAGAATGCAACATGAAGAAAATATGAATATGTTGTCACACAGCATATAATTAAAACATTAAAAATTGTAAAATCCCTTTAATGATTTAGAAGTAGAAAATCTAATCACCATAACGGAGGCTTTTGTCAAGTCAGGTGGAATTGTTTTTGAAATCCTCTGCTACTATACACTATGACTCAATTGTACACACTGAAACCCGAGAGAGAAATCATCTCACAAAGATGTATCTCAAATAACATTTACAGATATTACGGCCATGTTCGGTGTCAAGTGTCAAACAAGTGGAGGCTCTATAAAAGATTTCCACTTCAAAAAAAAAAACTTTTCAGTGCAATAGTGTGAGACTAAAAGGGTCTAGGAAATTGACCAGCTCTTTATTGCATTTAGACAGTCATCTTTGTCTGTGCAAAATGGACACTTATCCAGGCAGAAGGCCTCTAATGGAGCATTAAGGCACACACCATATTCCCCACTGGGTTCTCCTCAGCCAATTTTCCAAGAGGCTGTTGCCTTACGTCACCACATTACATGTTTTGGAAGCATGGATTTGTCAAGTTCCAACCTCATTAAAAAACGAATGAATGTTTACAATTTTAACATCTTTCAAAGAGGAAGTGCATCTCTCTTTGAGAGGATGCATTGCTCATCCGCGGATGTAGCTCATTCATTTATGTCCTGCATGTAGTTATCCACATGCAATTTTATCTAGTGCCTCAATTGCAAGTTGCGTCACTTGGAAGACTCCCCCAAAACAGCAGCTGGGAGAGAACAGGAAAAGTGGACACCATTTTTCCTTAACACACGGTGGGCTGCAAGTGCAGCCTGCTGCAGAGTGGAGCGCTCACAGACGTCTGGGAAAGATTTAGATTCCTTCATGAGTCGGATGAGGAGGGCAGCTCGGGTCAACATGCCACAAAGTGTGCTGTGAAAGTGAGTGTCCATGAGCAGGGTCAGCCATGTCTGCATATCACCTGAAGAGACCAGAGTCCAGTTAGCGACGCTGATAGATTGAGTCAAAGAGAACACTATATGTAAACGTGCTTCATCAACAACAAGGATTACAGATATCATGGGAGTTAGTATCATGTACCTGATGGGAGCTCTTGGCAAACCAGGAGGTCTTCCAGCAGTGATGGGCCACTCTCTTTTGCCCAAACGTTTACGTATTTTGCCAAAGACGGTGACTGACTGTATTTATCCGCCATTTGCAGTAAATACGGAAGCACGTGAGCACACATCACCGAATGCTCTGCAAACACATTGGCCTCGTCCTGCTCATATAGAGTGACGCACCTGAAACAAAACAGTTACACCTATTCTCTGTTTGAACAAAGGTAATTGATTTGTTATAGAATGTGAACACACCTGTTTTGCAGGGCTTTTTTCTGAACTAATTTGAGTCCTGTCGATGGCAAATAAGAGAAGAGGATTTCCAGAGCCCCAGTCTCGGAACACTGCTCTGTGAGCTGCTGGAGGAGGAAGGGCAGGGCCATGTTCACTTGCATCACAAAGATGCTCCCCTGAGTTCTTTCAGAAATGTGCTTTAACATGGAGGCAAAATATGCTGCTTTCACTCGGATCTGCACATTTTGGTCCTGAAGTAAGATCAGGCCTATACTGACCAACCTGCACAAAGCCACAGAAAATGAAGATAAAATACGGCCCTCTACTCATCACGCAGGGGGAACTTTCACTGTTGCAGAGCACATTGCCAGAGAATAAATGTAAGTGATTGGCAAAAAGTTGTCATTTGAATAATGTCATTGTTGTTCTAAGAGGAACCATATGTATATAATATTAAATGAAGGTTAAAATAACTGGATTTAACCTATGGAACCCAAACAAGACTAGTGTGAGGCTGATTCTGTTGTATTGGAAAATCAATAAAGTAAAAAAAACTATATCTGAGGCCATATGTAAATACCGGAACATATTTACTGTATGTCTGGGGACAACAAGAGCAAAACGTAAATTTATATTAAAAAAATATTAAAAACTGGTTCTTTTAAGTGTATTACCTGATCATTATGGCTGGATTTTCTCTGTGTATTCTGAGACTTAGAAGAGAGACTCCAGCCAACACCAAAGCCTTTGCACAGGCCATTCTGAGACCTTCGGGAGCCTGCGCTAAACAGTGCTGCTTCAGAACTTTACACCATCGCTCAATAGTAGTGAAGCTGGAACTTTTTACAAATAATGAAAATTAAGAAATAATATTAATAATAAAAGGAAATTATAATGCAATGTGCTACAATGGGCTCATCTCACCAGTGAGGGAGAAGTAGTCCAACTGCACCCAGGGCTTGAGACAGAAACTCAGGACCACTTTTTTCATCTTCAACATCCTCAAGTAATATTTCAACACATTCAACCAAAACAGGCTCTTCAAGTGTTGTTTTTAAAAGTGAAGGACGCACATGAGTCTCCCCTGAAGTCCCTACTGTTACGAGCGCCTCAAGGTACGAATGACGATATTCCAAACATCGGCTCAACAATGCATCTCGAAGATTTGCCTGGAAAAAAAAAGAAGAGCAATGAATAAACAAAATACATAATCCACAACAATTAAGTAACAAAAGTACATCTTCTGAGTCCTGGCTTTCAAATCAAGACAATATCATCAATTGGATACTCTAAGGTGTTACAATACTACAAATAACATAATCTTATACATACATTTCTACTCATATGTGTAGAATACAGGCTAAGGCCCAGACAATTTTAAATAAATATCACAGAGATATAGCAGATAAGCATTGCAATGTTGATTATGAAGCCAAGATAATGTTTAAAGTGCAAATTATATTTATTGAAACTAAATGACAAGAAAGTTGACAACTATTTTGGTTTTCTCCATCAGCTCATAAATAGTGCTGCACTAGATTCTGAAACCGGTCCTCTGTTCCACATGCAGTGCTCTGAGATGGGTGCGGATGTAGAAGTTGATAAACTGGTTTTGAAGTTGTTTACTTCAATGTTGAAATTCAATAGCTGACGTCTTACCTGTAACACCTCATAGATTTGCTCTTTATTTGGGAGTAAATGACACCCATCCACCGTCCATTTCACCAGAATAAGCCTGACCTCAGGACTCAAAACACCAAACTGTTCCCAAATATGAGAGGACCATAGGGGGTGCATGCATAGAAACTTGATCAATGTTTGATGGAAGCATGAACGACCGATCTGTAAGAAATTAAAGTATAAACTAGAAGAAAACTTGACGAAGAATGACTTTAATGCCCTGTACCTGGATCCCTTGTTGAAGCTTTAAGAGGTCTTCAGACAGTATGTTATGAAGTTGTGAAAGGAAAGGTTCTGAACAGGATTGTATGACCGTTTCTACTACTTCAACATATGCCTTTTTCACCAGGGCGCAGCGCTGGGCTGCAGTGGCCAACCACAGTGATGCCTCCACTTTGTTTACTGCCTCCTTCAGCTCAGGTATTGCACTGAAAACAGCACAAGATACAATTAACCACTTATAAAATGTGATTCAATAAAGAAAACTTCACCTGTGAGCACAAGTAGCTCTGTGAAAGAGGGCTTTGATCTGCAGGAGGTGTCCGTGCAGCCAGTTGTGAGAACATCTCTGTTGTGAACTTGGGAGTTGTCCCACCAGTGTGAGGAGGACGTTCATATTCTCGGAGAGGGGTGTAATAGCTACTAATGCCCTTGATACCATTACTCTCACATTGTAAATGGGACTGGCAGAAAGTTGAAGTAAAGGGGGTACAAAGTCAGTCAGAGATCTGTAAAGTAAAATATAGTTGTTATTCACTTTGTCAAAAGTGGATCAAAATCTTATGTTCCCTCTATCTATCTATCTCAAACTTATTGAAACTATGTTCTTGTTTTAATATTGTTGTGTAAGTATTTTATTGATTTGATTCACAGTGACAATGTGTGAACATGTTTTTTGTGTGTGTGTGTTTTGTATGTTTTTGTTTAGTATTGTTGTCTCTGATGTTTTCCAATGTGGTTTAAAACTTCAAATGGCAAATAAACAGAATCTGAATCTTATATAGTAGACTTACAGTGCTGAGTCTTGGACACCAGGATGGAGTTGCGCTAACAGAGTCAGAATAGGAAACAGCGACGGCCTGAGATGAAGCCGAGCTCCATTTGATTGACTTTGTAAAACATGAGCTGCTTCTCTCAGCTCTGCCAAGATAAACTGCTGCACGTAAACGAAGTGGCAAAAAGAACAGCGAGTGGAGGAGACCATCCCCCCTTTGAGCGGCTCGTTGTCGCCGTCATGGCCTAGGACTGTGGGCCAAGCATATCTCGAGAGCAAAAGTGAACCTGAAATTTGGATCAATATGTAAAAGTTATGTTCATTAAAGCTGAGACACCCAACTTTCAAACCACAACAATGTTTTAACATCCAAGTCCTTGGTTTCCAATAACAAATGCTATCACAGTTTCACTAGAGCGTTTTCTTAAGTATGTAAAATATTCCATGTTTTATATGTTTTAACAGCACGTTGAGGTCTGATTTGTTCAGACTTTCTACTGGTCCAAAATAATTGTAATATTGATGCGGTATCAAGTGAGATACCCCAGCTTTAAGCAAAATGCAATTATCCAAATATATTTGTCCCCTACTGTAGAGCTGGAGAGCAGCATTCCTCATGGCCCAGCATGAAGAACTCAGAAGGCTCAGTGACAGGATGGCGACACTTGGAGCAAACTGAAGGATTGCAGACCCTAGTGCTGTGCCCCTCACCAGTGCTTGTAGAGTGTGAACTGCGCAGACCTGCAAGAATCAAGAATGACAGTCATAGAAACAAATACCAAATGGCCGCACATTATTGAGAGATCCACCTGTGGGAGGTCCAGAGTATGATCCCATTGCTCTGGAAGCGGGGTTTTTGCTTTATCAGATAAAAACTCCACACAGTGTGTTAAAAGAGGCCGCCCCCTGCTTCCCACCTCTGCTGACAGCACACAGAGGATAAGCATGGGCAAGCCTGCGGCGCGCCTGGTCACTGAAGTGGATCTAGGAGATGCGATTACTTGCAGTACCTGTTTGTGAACAACAGATGTCCCATGAAGGCAGTAAAAATAAACATTGGCACACAGCAACGTTACCTACTTGTTTTAACATGTCTGCAGGGATTTCCATTAGTTCTGGATCATTACTTCTCAGCAGACAAGCACAAAACTTAGTGAAGCCAACGCAACAACCCTCTACTGCCCCCTGGTGTTGAAAAACCAATGGGCCATTAACATGATTAACAAGCAATAAGTGCCTAAGTATTCTGTTAACACGTGTTGTTTGGCCCAATAGAAAGTCATGTGAAAGTAAAATGGTGTGGGGGAAAAAATCTTCAAGAAAACATGTTATCTGTTGCATACTTCTAAGAACTATTTGAAGCTTTGGGTTGAGAGTTGATTAGCTGAGTGAGGGTGGTCCTCTCCCTTTTCACTTTTCTGTCTGAAAAAGCTAATCCAAAACGTGTGATAGAGGCCAGAACATAGATGCATGTGGACTCTAGAGATAGAACTAAATTGTTGAGCTTGAGGACTAAACTACTGCACATAGTTATATGGATTGTATTATTTACATTTTTTTGCGTGAAAGTTAGATATGCCAGCTCACCCACTGACGGCATTTTAGAAGAATATTCCAAAAGATCCTGGAAGCTCGTTTCAAGTCTGTTTTGGTGAGGAGGTGCGTGGAGCCTTGACTCTGGCTAATAACGTGGTCCACCAATGAACCCAAAACTATTCCAGTTTCCTGTCAACACAATAACGTCATTCATCAAATTACTTATTACTCAAACCATCATTCATGTGTGACGCGATTGGATGAGTCATTACTATTTTTTAAGAAACTGTTATGATTTATCATAACAATATACATGGGGTGGGAATTTACAAGTTTTTCTTCTTCCCACTCCATTTCGAGCAAATTGTGTATAATAACGATAATGGCTAAGTAAATATGTAAAGCTTGTTTTTTATCTGTGCACAGGTGCATTAGTTATGTGGGTTGTATATTTGTTGGTGTGGTCTGTCCACTGGTGCACCATTGTGCATTTGGATGCTTGTTGTGTGTACAAATGTGCAATGTTATAAGCTCAGAAGGAATAAATAATAATAATAATAATAAATAATAAACCGATTTAATATTTTACCTTAAGGGAGACCCAACAGCAAGTGAGAACCAGGCTGTGATCCTCTGATAACAAAACACACTCCTCAAGGCCCTCACCTGAGGCCTGGTCAATTAAACTTGTTATTGCATTCCCCATGTCACTAAAGGAAGGAGGGACATCTGAGGGGTAAAAGAAACAATATTATGATCCATCATTTTATCACAATCACACATAAATAATGTTGTATATTAACAGAAGATCAATCTCACCTTCAGCACCACAAGTTTCCAGTTGGTCTCCATAGAATACACCGAGAAGAAGCTGAGAAATATTTTCCAAAAGTTCCAGTGCAAATGTGATCAGGCTGCTGTCAAGTGCATCTTGCATATTGCTTGGTGAGGCAAACAAACAACTCTGAAGAGCACTCAGAATCCCTAAAAAGAATCATAGTAGGGTCCAGACATTACAAAATAGAGGAACTCAAATAAAATACAGCGTAAAATAAAATACTGGTCCGCTATCATAAGAGTTTCAGTTTTAGCTTGAGTTATTAGTATCATTTTTTATTGTGTTTTTGCCCCACCATGAATAGGCTTGGTCCTGGCAGCAAGCAGCATGTCACTCTTCGCTACACAATAATGTTCCTCCAACTCTTTGAAGAGAAATCTCACAAAATCCAATTCCTGCAGGTTTGGGCTACATCTGAAAGTCATTTTGCCCTCCTGACAACTCGAGGATCTGCAGAAATGGTGTCACAGTATTGCGATGCTTGGGTAAATGTATTAAATGTACAAATGTTACAAAGGCATAACTCACATCAGATGAAGCACCTTTATCATGAGCGCTGCCGTTTGAGCCTCCTGCACTCGAGGGCTGCAGAGGAGGCGCTTTGTTCGTGTGAATAGAGCAGTGAAAATGTCTTCTGGAAAACTGCGTGGAAAAAATCTCAACAACAAATTTGCAGAAAGCTCTCGAATCTGAAAAAAATATATACAAAATTACGTTCAGAAATTAAACGTATGAAGTTTTTGTTAAGCTACACACCTCATTGGTTGAATCCTCCAAACAGCTGATGAGGACAAGGAGTTTTGCACGACTGAAGAAATCCCACTGGTCCTTTAGCTTGACGTAGTTAATGAGAGATTCCATATGCACTGGAAAAAGCATATTTATTGATGATTGTTTGCTTTAGTAAAAACATCCAATATTATTGATGATCGATAATCATCTACCTGGTGGTTGTCCCTTCCTTTTGTCTGGGCTCCATGTGTCAGTACATGTTTCAAGCACAGCAGTGAGCAGTAGTAAAGATGTTTTTTTCCTTTGGTAGTTATGTCCTGGTGCCAGGTAGCAGTAAGGAAGCTCTCCCAACCAATTCACAAACTCTAGAAAACATTTTTTTTAAAAACACCTTTTGCATTAATAATATAATGTTATAATTTTATATTTGCTCACCTATTCCCTGATCTAGTAAGTCTTTGACCTCTTGCTTATGGGAGGCCTCTTGTTTCTTTTTGTCCGTTTGAATTTTGACAAAGCACAAGCAGCAGTCTCTGATACGTACCAAGATCCGTCTCACTCCATTCTGAAAATGTTGGCGGAAAGATGAAGACTCGCAATTTAGATTTTGAGGAATAAAGCTCTTGATCATCTCCATCTCCTCGCGTATTGGAAAGTCTTTTGTTTTGGGGCTGCAGCAAAGGAGGTTGAAACCGGCCAGGCGCACTTTGTCATCAGCAGACTCGAGAGCGAGAGGCAGGATCTTCAGAGTGTTGCCTCCTTGCAAAGACCAAGGAGATAGTCCTGTTGTTGCCCGATATGAACTCAAGACACAGGCCCACGCGTACAGATGTTCCGGAGAACTTGGGTTCAAAGCTTCCAGCAGGGGCGCCACAGCAGCAGGAAACACATGATATGTCACTGGTAACAAGTGAACCGAGCTGTTGTTTTGTAAATGGGCCACTTCAGACGTAAGCGCCTCAACAAGGACAGACTTCCAGCGCTTTGCCCACTCCTCTGCAAGACATGCTTCATTTTGGTTGAGGAGCTCCCGTTGCTGTTGCTGAATAAGGCATTTATAAAGCTCTGCGCCACACGGAGAGAGGTGGTTTGTGCTTAAACACTTCAGAATATGATTTGGCAATTCTGGATAGTGACTGAATACCTTTAAAACAGAGAAAGGTCAAAAGCTACAACATAGAACAACAATATTCCACTTGTTTTCTCACCTTCTCAGAACCAAGATATGGGAGCAATGCACATAACTGATAGTATTTGGGTTTATTTTCCCAAGGCAAGTCAGTTATCCGAAGAAGCAATGAAGAATAAAGAGTGTTAACAGCACCATCACACAGCATACATTCAGTCTGGTAAAGGTCCAAGAGCAAAGTAAAAGCACTACGGGCTAAATCAGACACTCCATTGACCTGTTGAAAATGCCACAGTTCAGATAGCAATTTGGTCTTTGTTGAATCAACATACATAGGATGCGTGTTTATTGTTGCACTCACAGGGCTGTCAGCATTGGTTAGAATGATATCAATGAGTTGCTGTTGGAGACTGCTGCTCTCAGACAAAATGGGAGCCCCAGTTAACTCCATTATTTCAGCAATATTTTCCCTCATTTTCTTCAGCCATACATTCACCACTGAAAAAAGAACACATTTTGTATTATAAGTACTTTCAAACAAATAAGTATTACTGACCCTCAAAGGCAAAGTAATGACAGTCGATTTTCTTTGCACACAAACTGGTTATAAGAGAAAACAAACCAAGCAGTAAACACACCTATGTAGAGACAAACATGGAGTAGAGTTATTTATTATACATAATGCATAATGAAAAAATAGAAATAGTTGGTAATAACAGTACGTCTTTATCATCAGTGTTTGAGCTGAGCAGGACATGGGGACGACAGCAGGTCAAGACTCCTCTGCAGACGGCTAACACAGCCAGCTCTTTATTACCAATACATCTATAGTTTACCTGTAGACCACCAACGTTTACAACAGCAGACTCTGTAAGATAAAAATTAAAAGTACTACTTTATTAAAATACACACAAATATTATACCATGAAAATGAAGAGAATACATCTCTGGAGTTGTTATGTACCTTGCTCTGAGATCTGAAGTAGCCTCCATGCAGCATGTCCTGCAGCCTGGCTCTGTGTGGTGTTGAGTAGCATGGCCACAGCAGTGCCAGCCAGCAGACATGTGTCTCTATTGCAGCACTACAAGTACAATTATTAAAACGCATTTTAATGCATAAAACTTTAATATCAGCATGACTGCAATGCCATTACCTGTCCATAAATGATGTAAAAAAGAGCTTGTAGGATGTTCTGTATGACATGGTTGCCCTCCATCTTTGTCCACACCAATGATGACACTTGATTTGGCAACAGCTGAAATATCTGTAGACAAATCTGAGGGGATAATCCATTAATAGTGTATAATTACTAGGGGAAAGTGAATGTGTGCAATTCATACCTTTACAGCCGAATAACAGATAGGGCCATCCCTTAAAGATTCTTCTTCAAGTACAACCATGAGTAGTTCCGATACTTTCTGCATTAGAAGTAGATACAGCTCTTTCCACACCTCCCGACCAACAACACTCTCTTCCAGAAGCATACATGCTGATGAAAGGATGAGCAAAAAGTAACACCAATTGTATCTTGTGATGTGAATCTACTTTGCTACAAACCTATTTGCAAGTCATTCAATGTGAGCATCTGAAAACAGAGAAACGTTACTGTTGTGACTAGTTGTGTATAGTGAGCAATTGTAAGTGACATGTACCTGATCTTTAGCGATAATTGACTGCAAGCATTTTTCTGTTTCTCTGTAAACCAGTAGATGGTTTACACCAGCCAGTTCTTGCAACATCTTTAAAACAAAAAACGCACTTACAATCACACAATATTCAATAGTATGACAGAGAAGAATCTATTCAATTGTACGCAGATTACTGGCCTGGTCTATTTTCCCACATGCTGAAGATATGCCAACTGTCTCTATCTGGAGAGAAATCAGGACTTGGATCATGAGCAGCAAATGGGTTTCCTCTAAATGCAAAAGCAAAAGAGTTTTGGAAACGCGTTTCAGAAGCTGGAAAGCCTCCTCCAAGCTCCTCTCCTTTGACCTTTTTGTGCCGCTCCTGCTAAGAACATACATTAGACACTTAAAAGCATGTGTCAGATGATTCAGATGTCAATTATTAGTTTTTATTTATTTATTTGTGGATAGATCTTTATTTATACAGACAAAGTTCTCTCTCTGGACGTTCTGTCATACAACTTTACGCACAATCTAAGTACAATAATAATAATAGACAATTAAAAATATACTCTGATTGTATGTGTGTGGTTACGAACCTGGAGGACTCCAAAAGTCGGTCATAAAACAGTGTCAGGTCTTGCCTGACATCACCTTGTGTGTGTTTATCAGCAATGACACACCTCTGCAGACTTGATAATAGCTCATCAAAGGACATCGTTGACTTTTTATTGTAAAACTCACGAACATGAATCAAGCTTCGCACCTCATGGCTGCAGTATTGATGTCACGTGACATGGTTCAAGCTCTGTCCATGAAAATACTGCCGCCCACAGGATAAAACTAGAAGAGAATAATGAGTCAAGTTTGATTCGTTTTTAAGTCGAGTTGTTGGATAATTTGAATATTATGGCAAATGGCTACATCAGAAAGCCCAAAAATCCCAATGCAGTTAATCGCCGAGTAGAAGTTTAAATAAAAAAATAAAATAATTATAATACATTTAGCAACAACAATCGTACATAATCTGCTTGGATCAATCATCTAAATAAAAGGCAAACAAAGACTAGAAGGCACTGTGGCTGCTGGATTACAGGCACACTATTCATTTTCACATACAAAAAAACAAAAACAAATCACAAGGCACTTCCGGGTGGTTGCCAAGACGATCTACACCGTTTATAAATATGTCGTGGCTCACTTGAATGAAGGCAAATGGATAATGTTCTTTTTCTCACATGTTTTCGTGTTTTGTGTCTTCTGCTGTATTGCTCTTCCTCTGATGCACAACATTTCGGTAAGGATATGGTATGAAAGCGGAAAACATACTTTATATAAGCCGTGTTGCCAAAAGAGCTAGCTTAGTTCATTGCTATCGAGGTTAGCTAGTGGTTCTATGCAACTCTGACAGGTTATTGATTACTAACTAAATCTGGTTGTAGATTTTCAGCCCTCCTTTATGATCACACGTGGACCTTTAGTTACTGCACTGCTGAATGGAAGCATCTCAAATATAACCCTGAATCTGCAATCAATATCACCTCCCAATGAGACTGGTAAGGGTAAATTAATGGCAGATTTGTTAATTTTACCTGAAAATAATTTGACTATGAAATTAACTTTCTTATGACTCGTTTTGTTTTACAGACAGCTTTGATCCTGCTTCATGTGTGCCTGGTGTGACACAGTGGATTATGACAAGTGAACGCATTGCAAAAGTATTGCCAAAATGACATTGTATAATGGCTCTTAGGATTGTTTTGTGTTCAGCAGCCTAAGTAACTGTTATCATACATTAATTTTCAGAATGCTGTTCAAGTAAAGCTTAAACTTAATAGAAGTCTTCGGTTGTGTGGCAGTAATGAGACTGAGGCAGATTGCTGCGTTAATCCACTGTGTGTGTTGGAGACCCTTCAAGTTTCTGCTTGTGAAGGAAATAAATCACAAGCTTCATTGATTATTCAGGTCAAAATTTACGCTCTGCTGATTTCTGGCAATCCGCTATTTGGTGAGATCAGTAAAGACTAGTTTGAAGTCTCATCTTTGTAATACACTTTGTATCCATATTTTCTTTACACTGTTTTAGATAACAAAACAATTATTCAAAATCAAGTGTACCGGCCTTTGGGAGTGTGTCCATGCGACCTTACTTTCAATACTTGTGATTTATGGTGCTGCTGTGATGAGGTAGATATATTTGCAGTATAATGAATAATCAGATATTTGGATCGTTTATAATATTTTCCTCATGCAGGACTGTTCAAGTAAAGATTTGCATCTTTTCAAGTTCCGATGTCTTCCTGGGCCATTTGGTGGTCAGTTCCCTGATCCAGAGTACCAGTGCTCATCCCAGTCCACGCAGAACTCCCCAGATTGGTATCCGTTCTTGTGTGTCACCTCCTCACCTGAAAATAATCCATATCTTGGACTTTTCTACCATGGAAACACAATGTATAATAGTATATGCACTAATAAAAAAACATAACAAAATGTCTACAATAAGTTTCAGTTAATAGGGACTTTCTTGTTTCAACTCTCTGTAGAGCCTTTAAACCTGGTGTATCCTTCAGAGGACCTGTGTCCCAAGCACCAGAATTGTTAAATATGTATATTGAAGGAAGCCCTATTTTAACAATAAACGATCAGTACTTTACAATTCCACAGGTAAGTTTCACGTAAACACATAGATTCCTTATAGGGATGTTATGATATAGTTATTATTTTGTTTCCACAGACACTCAATGGACATTGTGTAAATAATGCTCCAGTGGCTTTTTTGAGAGACTTTGATGTCACATGTGTGACCCCACTGAAGGCTTGTCCAATGGAGTCTCCATTGCAGACAATACATGAACAACTAAGAGCTATTGTGAAGAATGGTGTTGGTGGTAAGTTTTTTACATTACCATGTTAGATTCTAACATGAAAACTTGATTTGACAAGACGATAAATCCCTGTAGGAAATGCTGTGGTGGATGTAATTGACAAGCTGGTCACTGAATTAAATGACTTCATTACAAGCAGTGGAACCTCTGACGCTTCAGGTACAGAAATTATGTTATGAATTTGTTTTGTATAAGTGGTCAATATTCAATATTTATTTTAAACACAAAAGCCTTAGTGTGTGAAAACATCACCTTGGCCCTGGATTACAACTTCTACTGGAAAGAAAATGGCATAACTGGGATCACACTAACTCGCACTGTTGGCTCTGTAACTCTCTATGACACAAGTGAGAATATGAACATCTTCAGACACAGAATGGTTTAGTTCTAAGTGCTAATCAATCTGTTTGTTGTTAAAGTGCGATTGACAACAAGATACTCTGCAAAGTTTCTATGTGGAGACATTTTGAGTGAACCCAATTCAGGAAATCCAGGTTAAAGAAAAACAATTTGCATACATTTTGCATTGTATTTGTCAGTAATTATCTTTTCATTACAGGGTATCAAGTAGGGAGGCCTGTAATTGGAGGAATTCTTAACACATCAATGGAAAACAATACTGCATCAATAGCTAGGTCGCCAATAAATCTGTGGAAGCCAGGTACCTAATATCAGATAGCAATGATTGTGCTCTACATTTATATAATCTGTTTTTTAATGTAGTCAACAGTGGACTTTGTTTTAATGCTGATGTGAGGCCTGTGCTATTTGGTGAGAATTCAACATCTGGATGTCTGCTTCCTGTCAGTCTGCAAAATCTTACTGAATGTAGTCTCCTGAGGTTTGTATTCCTAAATTGATGGTTCATAAAACAATTCAATAATTATTAATCTTGATTATCAGAGCTACTGTGAGTTCCCTCCAAGAAGCACTCGTTGAAGCCACATTGGTTGCTAGAATTGGTCGCCCTGATCCTCTAACTCTAGCAGACTGGATAAATATCAGCTGTATGTACAGTAGATTACAGAATGCAGTGTTACATCAATCACCCTGTTTAATTAAAAAAATGATTTAATTGATTGCCTTCAGATGTGACCTTGAATTCCAGCATAGAAGAAGATTCAAACAGCTCATGCAATGATATACCAGCGCATTTTCACATCTATGTGTGGACTCATGTCACTGGCTTTGTAGACGGGATTCCTCAGAAAGAATTGAAAGACGTGCAAATGAGGTGAGTACTAATATTCTTTTAACCAGAAAAATGACACCACACAATTTCTCAAATGAATCTTTTCAATTATAGCTATAGTCTGTTTTCTTGGAAACTGGAATGTGGAGGAGGGGATTCAGCAGCGTGTTTGGATCCAGCAGAAACACAGTTGCTTCCCATCACTTCCTCCGCCACATTCATTGATATTCCTTTAAACCCAGGACCACCCAAAAACAGGTGATTTGTAAGGCAGAAAGTTTGAAAATGTACATTGTCGTCAAACATGTATCACAACTATTATTTCTCCTTAGATATCAAATAAATTTCACCGAGTATGACTGTGACAGGAATGATGTATGTTGGCCTGAGCTCGCCTTCCCTATGACCAGGTTTTACACTGGTAAGTTTTATTTTTCTTATACATAGTACATTTGAAATGTAACCGCATGATGAAAAAGGTTTTGTTTACTGGTATCTTCCATAGGTGAGCCGTATTCTCAAGCTCTGGCAAAAGGCCTCATTTTGGTGTTCTTCTTTATTGTTGCTTCGGTTCTGGGAACTCCTTGGAGGCAAATTCGGCAGATATGGATCTCAATTTAATAACATTGATGAACACTGACCATGCCTCTCCATTGTTTGATTTTCATATTTATATTTCTACCATTCAGGGATTTATAATAAATAAATAAATGGTGTTATTAAAATGTCCCTTGTTTTTCATACCAGCATTTTATTATCTTCATCTTTTCTTTCATAAACAGTATGGATGTGAGATTTTTAGCTCTCATCACATTTAGTAATGTTAATAATGGAAGAATAGCTTGTTATATTAGAATACAACAAAAGCAACGTTTTAATCCTTTAGGTGCCAAAGTTGAGTAGGACACTTTCAAACAGCAACCTGGTTTCTCTTCTTTTCTTTTCTTTCTTTTAGTAGTCCTCCAGGGCTCCATCATCATCATGAAGAAAACATGATATTTTATTACTAATAAACAGCTACAAAGACGTGGTTGCTAAATAAAATTAAAACGTTCAAGTTTATTTTTATTTTTTTTACATTTTTTATTTTTTACGTTAAGGTTTAATGCACCGAAAGAATGACGTAGCACAGCGCGTCAAAACCCCGGAAGTGCAGATCATTGGAAGTTGAACCGTGGACGTGGATTGTCGCTTAACCAGAACTTTTCAAAGTCTGTATTTTACATATAACGAGACATTGTGCCTGCGGAATGTATTTATATGAACAAGAAGACAAGGCTTGAATCGTCTGGTTTGCGTTTCTTGGGGTTAGCCTAGCCGCAGCTGCTGGTATCTGAAGTCAGCTGTACCAGTTGCATATTGTTCATCAGTATGTGAAACGTTATTGCAGAATAACAAGGGTCTGCAATTGTCAGTGAGGGATAATTATTATCGACAAGCGCAAACATGAATTCCCTGCTGCGGAGTGAGGAGATGTGTTTAGCCCAGTTATTTCTGCAGTCTGGATCTGCGTACGACTGCATCAGTGAACTGGGAGAACTGGGACTTGTAGAATTTAGAGATGTAAGTCAGATTTGTTTTGTATTTATCTATATTGTTTTATATTTCAGTCAACATGTTAACCTGTTGGTATGGTATGTCTCTCGTAGCTCAATTCGTCTGTAAACGCCTTTCAAAGGAAGTATGTGAATGAGATCAAGAAGTGTGAGGAGATGGAGAGAATTCTGAGTAAGTGCTAAAACTTAAAATGTTTCTCATTCTGTTTATTTACAGTTAAGTTGTCATTATTGCAGTTGTAGATTTGACAGATGAGATGGGAGCTGAATACATACACAGACAGTACCTTTTTGAAATTCACTGACTGAGACTACAGTCATGGGAGACGTCAGCTGCCTTTTGTAGATTCAATTAAATAAGACACTCTCTTTAGATACGAAGCCCAAATGAGAAAGACAAAACACTCTTCTCCAAAAGCAAAAATGTACACGCCAAGATATGCCACACTGATAAACATTAACATGTTGAATTATGTTTTTGGGTTGATTTTTGTTTACATTAGTGGGCAACAACATATTTTGTGGTACATTTCCATTTGATCTACAAAAAAGTCCTGACCAATTCTATCAATATTAGTTTAGTTCAGCACTGGTTTACTGGAATTATTATGATTTGTATTTTATTTTATTGTGCATGATGTGCATCTAATGGTATGTTATATATTCAATTTTTCAGGTTATCTTTTACGAGAAATCAAAAAAGCTGACATCTCACTCCCAGATCGGGATGTCAACCCTGTGGCTCCTTTACCCAAACATGTCATTGCGATCATGGTTTGTGCAACTATAGTTTGAGTCGAGTATCTTTATACTATATTAAAATATTTGTTGCACATTGTCCACAGGAGCAGCTGCAGCGACTGGAGGTTGAGTTAGGAGAGGTTACGAGGAATAAGGAGAAACTGCAGAAAAACCTCTTGGAGCTGACCGAGTACACACACATGCTGCGCATCACTCGAAACTTTGTCCAGAGAAATACTGAGGTAGAACTCAATAATGTTTGTATAAAATTCAAGATCATCTATGATTCAACTTTCATCTTTAGCGAGAGCCTTTACAAGGACAGTATGAAGAATTTCCTTTTCTGGAAAAGGAAACGATGATGGACTACAACAGCATGCAGAGACTTGGAGCCAAACTTGGGTGAGATAACAGGGTTCTGGCCCTACTAAATGTTTTTCCTTTGTGTTAGTCTCTTTAATTCTGTCTTTTTTTAATTTATTTTTTGTAGTTTTGTATCTGGTCTGATTCATCGGGTGAAGATTGAGGCTTTTGAGCGAATGCTGTGGCGAGTGTGCAAGGGATACACCATCCTGAGCCACGCTGAAGTGGACGAGTATCTGGACGATCCAGATACAGTAAGTTTACATGTCTGACTATTGTTCTTGTATGGGATTTTTGTGATTATTCCTTTCTGGAAAGCTACACACTAAAAACAAACTAATAAAGTTTAAGATTTTAAAAAAATAATTTCATTGACTTTTATTCTTCTTTTAAATAGTTTTGTACATTATTACATTTCTTGTGTTTATCCAGTTGCTTGCTGCTGATCTTAGTCTTTGGGTCTGGGCTTGTGTGAAGCACTTTAACTCTGTTTTGAACGGTGCTATACAAATAAAAAGTATTAATATGGTTAACTATTTTTATTTCCTGAGGAAACGGTTCAAGATTTCTTACATAACCAGTATTTGTGTTTTGGCTGTGCATTTGATTGACAAAAACATTGATTTCAAAAGGGCGAGCCAACCAAAAGCGTGGTTTTTCTGATCTCTTACTGGGGAGAACAAATTGGACAGAAAGTTAAGAAGATTTGTGACTGGTAATATTAAAATATTCAAACAAATGTAGCTAATAATTCAAGACTGGAGTAAAATGTGTTTTTTTTTTTGCTCACAGTTACCACTGTCATGTATATCCATATCCCAGTAACAACGAGGAGAGGAACGACGTGGTGGAAGGACTGAGGACACGTATCCAGGACCTGCACACTGTGAGTTTATTTTATTTCAATTATAAAAAAAAAAACCTTACTTAATATATATTTTCACACAGGTTCTCCACAGAACAGAGGATTATTTAAAGCAGGTCCTCCTCAGGGCGTCAGAGTCGGTCTACACATGGGTCGTGCAGATCAAGAAGATGAAGGCCATTTACTACATCCTGAACCAGTGTAGTTTAGATGTTACAAACAAATGTCTTATAGCAGAGGCTTGGTGTCCTGTTGGCGACCTGCCTGCTCTGCGGAGGGCCCTCGAAGAAGGATCAGTAAGACATAAACATAAACCCTGAGCTGGCCTTTTGAGTGTAACTAACAATACTTATGTTTTTTATTTCAGAGAAACAGTGGAGCTACTGTGCCTTCTTTTGTCAATCGAATTCCCACCAGTGACACTCCTCCTTCTTTGATAAGGACCAACAAATTTACCTCTGGCTTCCAAAACATTGTAGATGCTTATGGTGTGTGTGCTTACAGAGAGATCAATCCTGGTAGGTGGATTCTTATAATATCTTAAATATGTAATATAGAACTTGGAGTACACCACAGATCAGATCTCACCATCACATCCCACCTACACAAAAAAACCAGCTTTTTGTGCAGTCCTACACACATGCACACAATAACAATACACCCCCCTTTTGGCAGGGTAAAAATACAAGGATATGTTGCACAATAACTATCCAATGTTTCTTTTCTAGCTCCTTTCACAATTATCACTTTTCCGTTCCTGTTTGCTGTGATGTTTGGAGACCTGGGTCATGGAATCATCATGGCTTTGTTAGCTGTTTGGATGGTGTATTACGAGAATGACCGCAAACTCAAAAATACAAGAAATGAGGTGAGCAAGATTCAAAAAAACGTCCAACGCAATTTTACTTTCTTAACGTCCACCCATTGATTTATGTCTCCTTGAAGATCTGGAACACATTCTTTGAGGGCCGTTATATCATCCTGATGATGGGGCTGTTTTCTGTCTACACCGGGTTCATTTACAACGACTGTTTCTCCAAGTCGCTGAACATTTTTGGCTCCAAGTGGAATGTTTCAGCCATGATGGAAGCAAATATTTGGAAGTAAGTGTGATGTGTATTTGTCTATTGTTACACTTAAATACTTTTTTATCTTTTGTATAGCCCTAAACCACAACAGTAGTTATCTCAGAGGACGTTACTAAGTTTTAGATTAGCCAACACAGATCAGAGACTCAAACAGTTTAAACACATGAAATTCAACAATTAACCATTAGCCATTGGTCCATAAGGGGCGAACGAAATGTTAATAAAACATAAGATATTACCAATCTTTGTATACATAATCATTTCAGTTGGGGGTGACAGTGGCTCAGTTAGTAGACCTTTTTTGAGCCTAAAGGTCGTGGGTTTGAGCCCACCATATTGTCAATATAATATTTTTAAACTCAAAATCATACTTTTTAATCGGGCCACTTAGTTTTATACAATTCTTCTGATATAGTTCACAGTTTAAAATGTATCAAAAAATATAAATCAAATGTTTTCTTATTTATGCTATTATATTTAGAATAAACACTTGCTCAAAGTAGTATCTGGTTTAAATAAATATCTGATTTTCAATACTTACATTATTTTATATTTTGAACATTTTACCGAAAACAACTTCACATAAGTAGGTGTTGTTTGATGTTTGCCAAACTGTATGGTCAAACAAAATGGGGGTGGGGGCCTTCAAAGAAATGGTGTCTTTGTTTCAGGATAATACAGTATATTACCCTGACATGCATAGATCACTTAAATCACTCAATATTTGTAACATACTGTAGTCAAAAGTTGATTTCACAAAAGGAGTCCTCTTCATGGTTTTATAACAGGACACTTGTAACTCTCTGAATGCATTATGTTGGGTTTTCAGACCAGAGGATATCAGAGGACATTCAACACTGACTCTTGATCCGAATGTTACGGGAGTTTTCTCTGGACCCTATCCTTTTGGAATTGACCCTGTGAGTGATAATCATTCAGCATTGTTCATTATTATCTGGCATGCATTTCTTATTTTATGCAGCTAATTCACATTATCGAGTGTGCAACAGTGTCTTGTCTTTATTTTGAATAGATATGGAACCTTGCATCCAATCGCCTTACTTTTTTGAACTCCTACAAAATGAAGATGTCAGTTATTATTGGGATTGTACACATGAGCTTTGGCGTGATCCTCAGCACTTGTAATCACGTGTAAGTACACGTCTTATTTACATTTCACCCATGTTAATCTTTTTATAAAACACTTTATCTCTTAAAGACACTTCAAGAAGAGCTACAACCTGTACCTGGTGTTTCTGCCTGAGCTGCTGTTCCTGCTGTGTCTGTTTGGATATCTCGTCTTCATGATTTTGTACAAGTGGTTGGTTTTCTCCGCAAAGGACTCCAGACACGCTCCAAGCATCCTCATCCATTTTATTAACATGTTCCTGATGCAAGGAGATGCTTTAGAGCCTCTGTACGCAGGGCAGGTAAGAAGCGTTAAAAAAGGCTGTCGGTCTATTGTGGGTTAAAAGTAATCTTTGATAATAATGAGTCAATGAGTTGATAATGGGTTATTAAATGTATTTTATAGTTATTCAGGAGGCACCAAAACAAACTCTGCCCTGCTGTATAAGCCGGTATCTAATCATCATTGCTGGACAATCACATTAAAACATTATTGGGGTTTTTGAGGTGGTGTCTAAGGACAGTGGTGATGATGCAGGACATTTAAAGACATTTATGGACATTGGTCATCCACCCCTTATGACCAATCCGTTTCTTTTACCATTGCATTTCCTGTGTTCAAACTGTTTGATTCTCTAATCGATGTCGGCGAATCGACAACTTTGAACTGAATGATTTGAATTAATTGATACATTATCGGCCCTAATATTGGTCTGAAATAATGGCCTTTATAATTATGCATTTGATATCAAGATAGGGACAAACATATTGCCTAAATATTCTGTGTTTTTATCTTGTTGCTTTCTTCCCAGAGTGGACTGCAGATTTTCCTTATGCTAATTGCACTATTCTCAGTGCCTGTTTTATTATTGGGAAAACCACTGTACCTTTACTGGCTCCACAAAGGCAGTCACCGCATTGGAACATACAGAGTAAGGACTTTCAGAAAGGTATTTTTACACACACAAATATGAAACTAACAAACCTCTGACTAATGTCATAGGGATACCAGCGAGTGCGGCATGACAGCGATGAGGAGCTGTATCTACTGAGGGCACATGACATGGAGGAGGGGAGCAGTCACAGTGAGGCGTCAATGAGCGGAGAACGGCAATTAGCAGAGGTCAGGACCGGAAAACCCTTCAGTCACCCTGAAAACTCTCGGAACACTTCTTTTAACGCATGTATGCTTTTTTCTTAGTTTGACGTTGCGGACGAGTTCCTGCATCAAGCTATCCACACAATAGAATACTGCTTAGGATGCATCTCAAATACTGCGTCCTACCTACGACTCTGGGCACTGAGCCTGGCACATGCTCGTAAGATACTGTTTCAATATTTACATTCATATGATGAACGACTACAGTGGTGTTCGGACAAGAATGCTGTGAAGGTCTCTTCTGCTGAATGTGGGATGGCTTTAAAGGTGGATTCCTCAACTGTCCTGGTGGTCACCTGCTTTTCGTAAAGTTGTCCGATACTTGATTCTTGCGGTAGATGAGTAATTGCTGTGCTTGAAATTCCACACTTATAGAAGATTTTTGTATTTTTACCCTCATGCAGATATAGATATGAGATATTCATTCTCATTCTCGTTCCCAGTGTAAAAAAAGATTTCATTACAAAGTGAACACATATTTAGGCAGACCATGCAGATTAGCCATCTACTAATAACCTCATGCTCTGACTAAAGACTTAAAGCATAAATAATGCATTTTGTTTGTTCCAAAAGAAAGAGTCTTGTAAAAGTAATATGTGAAAAGATCAGGAATCGCACACATTTTCAATAATCAGTTGCCATCTTTAAAGAGCCAGTATTGAGTCAGTATTTGACACATTGGGTGGGTAGAAATATAAGATAAGATAGACTTTATTGAAATTTACATGTCACATCTGGCATGGATAGAATCACTCAAGATTTGTGCAAACATGAGAGTAGTAATATAACTGTTTTGAGCGATTAGAGGGATTTAATTTTATAGAATGTTTTGAGTTTCCAAGACGAGTACCACATCTTCAAGACTGTCTCCCACATTTAGTGTTCTAACATCTAATTTGACCAAAAGTGAAATCCAAACCAAGTGCACTTTGAATGCTCCCGACTTTCCCCTTTGTCTAATGTGTGTTTAATAATCGTGCGTCCTCAGAGCTGTCAGAGGTCTTGTGGGCGATGGTGATGAGAGTTGGGCTTAGAATGGACACCAGTCTCGGCATTGTGTTCCTCGTGCCAGTGTTCGGCCTCTTTGCTGTCCTCACTGTGTCCATCCTCTTGGTCATGGAGGGTCTTTCTGCCTTTCTTCATGCCTTACGATTGCACTGGTAAATCACATGAATATAATTAACAATGACTTGCTCTTACTAATATTTGATCCTTTATTCTTTAGGGTGGAGTTTCAGAATAAGTTCTACAGTGGAAGTGGAGTCAAGTTTGTTCCATTTTCCTTTTCATTAATGCCGTCCAGTTTTGATAATGATGGATTATTATAAAATGTTACTGGTTTCAAATGCCAGCTATGGGATTATAAATGGATGAAATCTTTTGTAAAGAATAGAATGTATTTCTCCAAAGACTTGATGTCTAATATCCAGGTATTTTTGATAAAGTATTTAAATTAACTTGATTGCAAAACTTTAGTGCCTGTATTCAGAATTCTGAACAATACAGCATTATTATGGTCGTATAATATAATCAGTCAATGCTTGCGTTACCACTTTTTTTTGTTACATTGTTTCCTTAATTTATTGGTAAGGGCTACAGTGGAATTGAAAGTGACATTTTTTTGAAGGTTTGTTTAAAATGGTTTGAGCATTATACAAAGAAAGCATTCATTTTAAATATACTTTTATTCCTACAAATATTGCAATGAAAACCACCTGGGATCACTCATGTACATGTTGAGAAGCCAAATCTGAGTCTGATGAGCTTGTTTTTATTTATGATAAAATGTTTTTTTTCTTTGTCGCACACACTGTTGTTGGCCTTAAGTGATATTGCAACCTTAGTGTGTCCATTTATTTTATTACAATGAGGCAACCTATGATAACTGAAGAAGTGATCAATTTGTGCTTTGAGAATATATTTTAATAAGTGGGTAAGGATTTGTTTTTAATGGGAACAATGCACATTAAACAACATTTCTGTAAAAATGCCAGTTTAAGCGGCAAAGTGAGTTTTTAACTGTTGTCCCTGGACCAGCAGTGGCGATGAATGACTGTACATTAAAGGGTAGTTACTCTGGGTGAAAATGTGTGAATTTTTTCTTTTGGTACAACAATGTTGACAACTCGCTTCCCTGACTGTTGATTTGTGACAACACAAGACTTGTAATGTGACCTCCTCAAATAGATGATGCCAACATTTATGCTCTCCTCCCGTTTATTATGTTGTCATATCATTTTTATTGAAAACAAATTACACTGAGAAGCTTAAGAGGCATGTTGTTGATGAAAATTCAAAAGTCTTTGATCCTTATTTGTTGTAGCATTTTCTAACAGCACCTGCAAATACATTGAAATATTAAAACAGACTTGTGGCATTGGCTAAAGTGCATTAAGGCTCACTTTGATGAGTTCATCATCATTTTTGCTGCGCAGGTGCCGGAGTAGGTACCATCTAGCCACTTCCACCACAGTAACTGGGGCATCATGGGAAACATAAACCAGCTTTTCCAAAAAGCGCCTTGTATCGCTGCAAATCATGAATACAGAAAATAAAAACATGAGCTTTGGATCCAGAGGTTCAGCACGTTCAACAGCCATTGAAACACGTACCGAGCTGCCATTTTGATGGTAAAATGCAGAAGGGCTTGGAAAAGAAGTGCCGTAGAGGAGGAGCCGAGCTTCAACACCTCACTGGTAGCTTCTTGTACCAGGTCCTTCCAGTCTTGTCCGGGAATCCCACTCTTCAAGTCAGAATCCCATTAGTTTAACATTGTAAATGTGCCACTTACTGAATTTGCATACTCACCATACACATTCTGAGGGCCAGCAGTGCGAGTCTGAGCAGGCTGGACATCTGACTGTTGTGCAGACCAAGCTGAGAAGCGATCTGTAAACTCTGTTTATAAGTCAAGACGGCCTGGAGCAGCAGGCCTTGTGTGTGATACACTTCAGCTAGCCACTGATTAAAAATAACAAGAATAGAGCAAATATGAGGCAATTCAGAATAATGATTGTTGTATTTGCTTATCTGAGACTTACGTGCCATCCACTAATGTTAGTGGGATTCAATGTGACGGCACTATTCAGCTGCTCAATTACAGCATCTGGGAGAACAGTAACTTCATTGGCCAAAAGGAGGCGCTGGCACTGCACCTGTCTCAGTGACAGTAGTACAGCTGGATGCTCAGGAGAAACGCTTAGAACCTAAGACCATTGGTAACAAACAAACTAGTCAGTTCCTGTTATAAATGTATTTTGTGTTTTAGAGAGTGTGTAGTCCGGTGAACAATTATGATTATGACAGACAAGTGTGTGTCCTGATCAGCATGCAGATGTACCTGTGTGCAGAGAGCCTCAGCCTGCTCCAGCTCTCCTCTGAGCACCAGGCCTGTGACTGACTGCTGCAGGATCCACGCCTCCAGCATCTGAGCCAGAGGACGCTCCACGTCCACAGAACGGACTACAGAAGACACCAAAGAGGAGTCACAAGAGAAACCAGTTGTAAAGTATCAGCATACAGACATAAACTTACCCTTATCAGAAACAATGGACATTAGTATTTGCTCCAGGCCAGTGCGACGTGGAGCAGAGCCCGACAGGTGACATGAAGTGTTCTCTGTGTGACAAGCAGCCATGAGCCCTGCCCAAGCTGCTGGCTCATCTGGCAGGATGCAAGAGGACATATTTATGAGGCCTCATGTGAACAATAGTAATGACACACATATAGTCACACTTCTTATAGTAAGTTATTTACCAGGACAGAGCAGCACAGCCCTCTGCATCGTTTTCAGTGCATTCCTCCGACTGTCGCCTGCAGAGTGTTTGCCACTTGCCAACTGGTTTATTCCACTATGCAACAATGATCTCTGCAGAAAAAAAAGGGTAAAATATTTTATATTTGTGGTCTGCTGGGATCATTATACTAGGGTTATATTAAAAAGTAGGACATACAAGGTGTAATGGGGGCCAACCCCAAAAAAGATGGCATCATGTCAATAAGTTTGGAATGTGAAAACTAAAAACACTAGTGTCTCATCCCAGTGCAGAAGATGAGAGCTTACACAGAACATACTCTGTTGTTTTGGTCATGTGTTTAATTCACCATGACTGCCATTGCTACCATTCATACACAAGGGAAGGTTACATCCTGTAGCGGAATCTAATTTGGCCCACATCCTAACAAACTCTGTTGAAATTACTTTATTTAACCTGATTCTCCTATGTTCTCCACCCAGATGAAACTCATTACCTTTCCGTGCGTCATACTGGAAAGACAAGCCACATGACCAGCCATAGCTCCACCCTAAGCATTATAGATAGAATATACAGCATTATTGTAACAAACACAAAGCTATGTTTACTATTACAGTAAAATATTGCATTATGGATGGACTAACGTTTGCTTTTTGGGGAAAGTACTGTGGGATCAATCTCGATAGAAAAGCCCATAGAGCTGGATTTCCAGGGTTTCTACAGGGAGACAAAACGTGAAGTCTGTGTAAAGTAGACACTTTCTAACTATAAGAATAGAAATTGTGACATAAAGCTCACCTGTGTATAGCCCTGGACGCCTCCCTCTGGACAGCACACAGGTTGCCTTGCAAAGCTAACAGAGTGCATTTGAGCAGACAGTGCTGCTCTACAACCATCTCTGAGTTTGAAGTTTGTTTCATTAACTCAGCTAAAGCAGCAGCTGCCAGAGTGGTGTCATTCTGCACTAAGCCCATGGCACAAAGACAGAGTAAGGACTCTGGGATGGGTTCCTTCAACAATGAGCTGTGCAAGGACATTTTTTTGTGAATCTAAATAACTTACACAATTTTTACAATAGTAAAATTCACAATACCATTTAAACAGCAATGTCTTGGCAGCATCTACATTGCCTTGGAGGTGCTGCAGCAATGCCAGAGCTGTTAAGATGTATGCCTTATCCTTTTCATTGAAGGCAACAGCTAAAGCACGCTCATAAGCTACAAGAGAAACAGAGCATGAATTTAAACCTTTTGTTTTAAGTGGAACAAGACCCTTCATATAGATTACTATTAATGCTCTTTGGGACGAGGCCTGCTCTGCAGTAAGCGAGAGCCAGTCCTGTCAAATCAGTGAGCTCCTTGAGTGGAGTAGAGTTAAAGACACGCACAGCCTCTTCCCACTGGCCCAGAGAGCTGAAATGACATATTTGTTTTACTCAAGTTATAAACCAGTAGTTGTAAACACAGTATTTATATACATCTTAATGATACCTTAAGACACGGCCATAATTGCTCAAAACCAAAGCGTGCATTTCTCCAGACATTGACTGTAGAAGGTCAGCACTCCTGTGAAAAAAACAACATTTTAAAACAGTGAGCGATGAACATTAATCAGCAGAGAAAGTTTAGTATGTTTTTGTTTTGCATGTGTAAAAAGGCACCTTTGATAAGCCTGACAGGCCTGTCTCTTCAGATTGAGATGTTCATTTAAAAAGCCCAGCATCGTAAAAGCATCAGGGTCAGATTGAACTCGCTCTAATGGAAACGTGGAAACACAGATCAGAGACATTGATCGGAACAAAAGGATCCATGATTGTGAAAGAATACCTGTGTATTTACTGAGGGCCACCTGTGCAGCTGACACTGCACTCATCTGAACAATGTTGTAGCGATACAAATCAGAATCTCTGTTGCTTTTGTCCAGTAAAGTGGAGCACACCCAGTGGGCGTAACCTTTAACACCTTCTGTCTGAAAAGCATAACGTTTTCAATGATTTATGTTAACATAAAGACGTAGTAGAAGTAGTCTTAACTTACATGTGTGCTGAGTTCAGTGGTGTGTCTGAAAAGATCCATGGTGTCATAGCTTCCCACTTTCTCTGCTATGATAGCCTAAGAATAGGGAATCACATAGACTCATGTAATGGCAACATACAAATATATCTTTGTCTCAATGTTTTGTAATTTATTGTATAGGACCTGTCCAATCCAGCAGTCAACATAAAGTGGTTCCAAAGATTGGGCAATTTTAAAGGCTTCATGAGCAAGCTGCAAAAATAGAAAACAAGATCAAACATTAATACGAGTAACAAACAACAAGGAACTTACTTTTTAGAACACAGTACCTCAATATTATCTTTCTTTAAGTAGAGGGCCCCCAAGTTTGTCCAAGCCACAACATTCTGTGTCAAATAGAATCAACATATAAGACTATCTTCATACATAAATACTATTATAACTTCCCATCAGTGTAAAACATACATTTTGCTCAGCTTGAATAGATTTAATAAAACAATGTTGAGCCAGTGCAAAGTTTTCCATCCCTGTTAACAAAAGAGGACATAAAAAACACTTGATCACTTTTATACAAGATAACAGCACAATAATATAAAGGTGTTGAAGAATTCTGATTATTAATAAGGCATCAGGTTTATTAAACCATTGTTTATAGTTTGGCCTTGTTTTTTATCTTATTACATTACAACTCCACCTTGAGGCCTACTGAACACTCAATGCATTTCCCCAATAAACACATTGAGATTGGAATATAAGGAAACATAACTGTTGTACCTTTACACAGAGAACAACCCAAGGCATCCAATACTATGATTACGTCTCACTATCTCTCATCATTAATGGTCTTTCTCAGACACTGAGACAACAAAACACGCTTCCAAAATGTAACATTATCATATTGGAATGCATATAATAACATACCTGCGGCGTTATCCCCAACTGTGCTTGACAGTCGCATATTTCCTTTGTGATGTAAACAAGCGGCCTGTTTATGATAGTTTTCAGGCCATGTTCATGCCAAAGGCTGGCGAACTTCAGCATGAGCTTTCAAAAGCATGAAGCATAGCACCCTGTAAACAAGTCACGGTTATTTTTGACAGATTCACGGCACTGGTTCTAACACCAAAAGCCCTGTTACCTCTCGCCAAACTCTTAAGGTCTCACACTGGTTCCAGCATTTTGGTTCTGGCCCGTTGGTCCACACAGAAGGCGGCATTTGGATCTGGGCTTGTTAGGGGACGCTGCCCATCAGCTGTGCAGGCGTCTCCAAGTAACTTCCACAGACAGGAAAGATCTGGACGCAGCTTCACAGCCCTAATGACAGAAGTTTAAAAACATGTGAATACAAAGCGGGCATTGAAAATGTTGTGGGACAGACTTGCCTGCAAAGTTAAGTATTGCTTGCTAGAAGGTATGATTTATTGTTGGGGCTCCAGCTCTACAATCACTCAAGAATGATTGGTGCCATCAGAGCTGACATGCCCCCAAACCTATTGACCACATAAACATAAAACAACACGGAAATAACAGTTGCTCCAAAGTATAAATAGTAAAGTAAAAATTAAAAATATTGTTTAAGGTATAGCATTAGTGGGCTCAAAAAAAATACAAATGGACATTTTTGTGTTAATAAAAACACCAAGTGGGGGGGGGGGGGGGGGGAGGGGGGGGGGGGGGGGGTGGGGGGTTTGGGGGGGGGGGGTGGGGGGGTTGTGGGGGGGGGGGTTGGGGGGGGGGGGGGGGGGGGGGGGGGGTGGTATTGGGGGGGGGTTTTTGGTGGGGGGGGTGGGGGGGGGGGGGGGGGGGGGGGGGGGGGGGGGGGGGGGGGGGGGGGGGGGGGGGGGGGGGGGGTAGGGGGGGTGGGGGGGGGGGGGGGGGGTTTTTGGGGGGGGGGTGGGGGGGGGGGTGGGGGGGGGGGGGGGGGGGGGGGGGGGGGTGGGGTGTGTGTGGGGGGGGTGGGGGTGGGGGGGGGGGGGGGAGGGGGGGGGGGGGGGGGGGGGGGGGGTGGGGGGGGGGGGTGGGGGGGGGGGGGGGGGGGGGGGGGGGGGGGTGGGGGGGGGGGGGGGGGGGGGGGGGGGGGGGGGGGGGGGGGGGGGGGGGGGGGGGGGGGGGGGGGGGGGGGGGGGGGGTGGGGTGTGTGGGGGGGGGTGTTTTGTGGTGTGGGGTTGGGAGTTTGTTTTGTTATATGGTGTGTTTGTTGGGGGTAGGGGTGTGTTTTTGTGTGGGGGGGGGGGTGAGGATGGTAGAGATTAAGAGGGTTAGGATGAGGGGGGTGGTGGATGATGAAGGTTTAGGTTTGTGGAGATGGAGGGAGGGGTTTTAGGGTTGGTGAGGGAGGTTTATGAAGGATGGATTTGTTAGGAAAAATTTATAGAATTATATAAATGAAGAGGGGAGGAAAGATGTATGGGGGGGTGGGTAGTGATTGTGTTGATGTTGTTGGTTAGTTTTTTAGGAGGGTTTGGGGGTTGAGTGGTGGGAGTGGGGGGTGTGTGTGGTGGGTGAGTTGTTTAGTAGTGTGAGGGGGGGTGGATGGACACACGGGTGTTATGTGGGTTTTGGAGTCATAGGATGAGTACATGTGGAGTGTATGAAGTGAATGAATAATGCAGCCCGCGAAAATTCAATTTGGTAGACTTTAACCAAAATTTAAACCCCCTCCAGGCCGGTTCACCATCCCCACCTATCGCTCAACCAGACGCCCCTCCATCACCGTACGCGACTGATAAACGCCAGCCGCATAAAAACGAGGAACTCCCTCTACTCGCCCCTCACGAAGCCTTGCATGAATCGTTCTGGATGAATCGTCTTTGGTCTACTCACCGCTTACTCCTGCGGTCCCTCCTGCTGTCCTCTGTCTTGCTGTCGTGTAGCCTGCTCCTCCTCCCGTATGTCGCACTCTGCTACGGGTCTCGTGCTGTGGTCCGTGGGTCTTGCCGGCGCCTCCTCCTTTGCGGGCTCTTCTGCGGTTCTCCGCTGCTTTGTTTCGTCTCGTCGCGGCCTGCTGCTGCATAGCGCCGGACTGGCCCGGTGCGGTGTGAGCCGTGCGCATTCCGCTGGCCGTCTCGTGCCGGTACGGCGTGGTCCCGTTTTGTTGTCCTCCTTGTCTTCGGGCGTTGTGGGTAAGTATGCGGACGTTTTATTCCCCTCACCGCATTGTACTGCAGGCTCATTTCGCCCGCTCTTTTGTACTGCCGCCTCAGTGGCCCCGTGCATTGGTGAGGCAATCTTCAGTTTAAAAAAGCCCTCGCATTTTCTGCAGCCTCTCTTAACCAAGCTCCGTTAAATCCTTCACTCCTGACTGCAAGCTATTCCTCACATTGTACTGCAAGACCTCAGTTTTTAATAAAATCCCTCACATTGGACTGCTGCTCATTTTTAATCCCCTCACTTGGCCTGCAGCTCTCTAAAATCCCTCTCTGACTGCGAGCTCTGTTTAAATCCCTCTCGTTGGACTGCAAGCCCCCACCGTTTAAAAATCCCTCTTGGAACTGCGCTCCCAAATTGAATCCCTCTCATTGGACTGGCGAGCACCCAGGTTAATCCCAGCACGAACTGCTTATATCTGGAACTGCTTAAATCCTGGAGACGTTATAAACCGTACCTGAACTGCTCATGGTCCATGAACTGCTTAATAGTGGAACTGCTATATAATGGAACTGCTATAAAAGAAACTGCTATATATGGAACTAGCTTAATATATGGACCTGCTTAATATAGGAACGGCTTGTTATTACGGAACTGCTTATAGGAACTGCTCATATTGGAATTGCATAAATAGGTACTGGCTAATATCTGAACGCTTATATACAATAAACAATGAAATACATATATATAATTTATAATTGATTTATGTTTATATATTTATATATATAAGCGTTCCAGATAAAACAGTACATATAATCAATTACCAAAAGAGCAGTTCCTAAAATCAGTTCCGTATCAAGCCGTTCCATATAAAATCAGTTCCAACTAAAATCAGTTCCATATAAAGAAGTTTACAATATAGCATTTCCTATATAGCAGTTCCATATATAAGTCAGATCCCATGAAGCAGCATCCAGGTACGGTAAACATCTCCAGATATAAGCAGTTCCAGATATAAGCAGTTCCGTGCGGGATAACCTGGGAGCTCGCAGTCCAATGAAGGGATTCAATTTGGTATCCGCAGTCCAGAGGGATTTAAACGGGGCTTGCAGTCCAAGAGAGGATTTTAAACGAGCACGCAGTCAGAAGGGAATAAAAGAGAGCCTGCAGGCCAAAGAGGGGATTAAAACGAGCACCGCCGTCCAATGTCGAGGGATTAAACTGAGTCTTGCGTCCAATGTTGTTTTTTGAGGAATAGCTTGCATCCAGAGTGAATGATTTAAACGGAGCTTGGTTAAGAGAGCCTGCAGAACATGCGATGCTTAAACTGACGCTATGCCCACCAATGCACGGGCCCAACTGAGCCTGCAGTACAAAGCGCGGGGCGAACTGAGCTGCAGTACAATGCGAGGGAAAAAACCGTCCGCATACTTACACACAACGCAGAAGACGAAGGACAACACAACGGACCACGCCGTACCGGCACGATGAGGCAGGGGATGCGACACGGCTCCCACCGCACCGGGCCAAGAACTCGGCCGTACTGCAGCAGCAGGCGCGACGAGACGAGCAGCGGCGAACCCGCAGAAAGAGCCCGCAAAGGAGGAAGCGTCTAAGACCCACGACCACCGCACGAGACCCGTAGCCAGGTGGCAGCAACGCGGAGGAGGAGCAGGCCACACCCAGCAAGACATAGGACAGCATGGACCGCAGGAGTAAGCGTGAGTAGACCAAGCGATTCCTCCAAACGATTCATGCACGGCTTCGGAGGCCTCGAGTGGAGTTCCTCCATTTTATATGCGGCTGGCGTAGTCGTTACGGTGAATGGAAGGGGGCTCTGTTGAGCGATCGGCTGGGATGGTGAACCGGCCTGGAGGGGTGTAATTTTGTTTAACGACACAAAAATGAATTTTCGCGGGGCTGCATTATTCATTCACTTCATAACACATTGGTGATAAACGCTAATGTATCCACAGCGGCCCTGGGGCACACTGAACAGAAGCGAGGCAACCAGTATGTGCCATTGGCCCCTCCGACCACCTAACCAACCATTCACACACACACTAGACTCATTCTAGCAATGGAGGTGAAAGTGTCTAGGCCCAAGGACACAACGGCAGTAATGCCACTTTACACCACAGCCGCCCCACTGTGGCATCAGGCCATAGGGTAATGTGTCTTGCCCAAGGACACACAACGACAGCAGACATCAAGTGGGAGTCAGTGGAGACTGGGTTCCGAACCCACGACCCGTTCAGGCTCAAAGGTCAATGCTCGACCAACTGAACCACCGTCGACCCAAATGAGTCCCTTTAAAGAGCGTGGCGCTCCTTCCAAGGCACAGCTCCGTAGACACAAGAGCCCTATCTTAACCATAATAAACCACATCTATACAATGTGGCCTATGTCCCCACAAGCATTTAAAACCGCGGTAAATCAAACCCCTTCTAGAAAACAAAATCCTGGAAAATCATAGAGCAAACAGCTTTGCTTCCACCGTCAGGAAAATAATATGTTTATGAAACCTTCAATTGGGATACAAGAAAAAAAAAAGCTCATCATATGTCACGAAACGGCACTAGTCAAAGTAAAAAATGACAACTACTAGCTGCTAATATGTGACAATGTCAGTGTTGGACCTACTTGACCCCAGTTCTCCATTTAACAGAAGTAAGACCAAAGATTCTAACTGTGCGGAGGCTAGAATGTGCTATATGGTGGGTTCTCAGAGGAACAGCCCTTGGCTGGTTTAAATCCAATCTATCGATCGTATCACATTGTCAATTTGAATCACAAATCATGCGCCTTATTCTGGCAGTGGAATTCGATGTGGCACACCCTTCAAGTCTTATATAAGCCAAGCAACTAAAACAGCTTTTTTCCACTTGCGGAACATCGCAAAAATCAAAATATCCTTCCTAAAAGTGACACGGAACTCCTTCTTTTAGTATACAAAGCCATGAATGGCCTGGCTCTTTCTATCTTCAAGACACGTTATTGCTATATCAACCAAACCGAAGCACTGTGCTCACACAACGCCAGACTCTGTTGTGTACCTAAGGTCTCAAAAAGTACTGTCAGCAGCAGAGCATTTAGCTCCCAAGCCCCTTTACGTGGAATAAGGAAGCAGATACGGTCTCCACATTCAAGCCAGACTTAAAACACTCTTTTGCCTCTTTAGCAATAATTTTGCCTATGGTTAGGTTGTTTGTCTGGTTTGGTTTTACACACTTGGGTGTTAATCCACAAATATTTGGTGCTGTAGCCTGGGCAAGCCATCCGCGGCTGCTGCTGTTTTCTCCTTCGTTCGGACACGGTCCTCCACATTCAAGGTAAGGCTTAAAACAGTCGTCTTTAAGTTTAGCAAATGGATAGGAGGTAAGGCTCAGGGAAGGCTAGACATGCTTTGACTGACAGTCAAGCTGCCGTAGTGGAGTAAGTCTGCTGGAAAATATGTATTTTAGCACTATCCTCTCCTCCTTCCACTGTTAAAACAATCTGCAATATTATGATCTTGCGTTCTGTTGCTTACAGTAGGTCCCAGCTTCGTTTTGTCGCCGTTCACGAGTGAATCACACGAGACTCATGGTGTGATTCACCGCGTCTTTATATATTTTTTCCCCATGATGCTAGCAATGACCCTAACAACCACCAGGTGGCACTTGTGAGCAGGTTAGGAAAAATTGGCTTTCTCATCGGTCTTTGTTCTCCTGTTCACCGACAACTTTCTGGTCTTTATAGCTCAATGATAACGAGAGGACTCTGTGTGAGAGGACTCGGGTTTCAAGTACAGTCTACGACACTTTTGATTTGTGACGTTTAAATTATTTCTAAAACATACTTAGTAATATAGGCCAACACATTTTAAAATATATTGCTAGACTGTAGTAAAACTGTGTAAACTTCACAATCTGCACAACCAAACTGCAGGAAAAAATCCACTTTATTCAGTAACAGAGTAATCTGATTCATAATACTCCCCCCTCCCACGACCACCCCCCCCATCCGCCCCGCCCCCCCCCCACCCCTGGGCCTCCCGGCTCCTCCCCCCCCGCCCCCCCAGCCGCATACACGGGCTAATAAAAATTTTAGATGGCCGGGCTCCGAACCCTGATCTTCCAATGCGAAAGACTATGACAAAAACCCACAACGCCACACAGGCGCAGGAGAAAACACTGATCATTACAAAGAGCGCTGATGAATGAGCCGAGCGTATGTGCAGGACCTTAAAATGCC